TTCTTCGGCTCTTCAACAATGGTGCTCCCGCTGCAGCGTTGGTCCCATGTCTGACGGGCGTTGGTACCTTTACCATTACTCAATATGAATGCACTTGCAAAACTCTGACATCGGACCCACTCTACCATTACCCAATATGAATGCTACTCTCCTTTCACCCCTGCAGAAATTTGAGATCCGGGTGGGGGACGCGCGTAACGGCAGCGGGCAGCTGGCGCGGGTGCCGCTCCGGCGCGGTCGCGTCGTCGTCGTCGTCGTCTTCGTCGCCGGTCGTCCTCATCGTCGTCGTCGTCGTCGTCGCCGCCGTCGTCGTCGTCGTCGTGGTTGTCGTCGTCGTCGTCGTCTTCGTCGTCGTCGTCTTCGTTTTCATCGCGCCGTCGTCCTCCTCCTTTCCCTCTTAGGTAACAGGGTCAGATGCGAAGCCCGATTCGGTGAGAGGACAATGAAGTAGCTCAATGGGAAGGGATGGGAGGGAGGGGTAGGATGTCAGATGTTGACGCGGGCGCACCTAGCTTGTCCTCCTCCCCCTCCCCCTCCTCCACCTCTTCCTTCTGCTCCTCCTCAGGTCGCCTACGGCCCCATCGGAAACCACGCAGGCGGGGTACATGCCGAGAGAGGGGAGAGGCGCACCAAACCCCCTATGATTTTACTAGACGGCCCTGAGCGTTTACTACACAGGATTGCTCTGCTGGGACTCCTTCCTTGGGTGAACTGACAAAACGGCTTTGCATGTCGGGGTGCGTATTACGAGGGTATTTTTTGTGGGGGGCTCCCTAACTTGGAGGGGGGTAGGGAAGAAAAGCGCACTGTTCGCGCCCTACAGGGGCCCTGGAGGGGCCCCACAGGGTCCAAAAGGGGCACGAAAGGTGTCTGTTTCGCTGCCACTCCGCTTAGCGCCTGCCCAGCAAGCAACGCCTAGGTCAGCGCGCCCTGGGACCTCCTGCAGCCCGGCGCACGCGGTGCAGCTGCCGCGCATCCAGCTGCTGCCGCGAGACAGAGAGAGCAGCCATCTTGGGCGTGCAAAGCCAACGAAGCGTGGGATCCTGAACAGGGAATCGGTCACACGTAAGAGTGACGCTTCGCCGGAGTTACCTTTGGTGCGGGATCTGGGGGGCGCGTAATTAATGGGGGGGCGGTAAAAAGGGGGTGCGGCGAGGGCTGCCGAAAATGGGCCCTTTAGGGCCCCTAAAGGGGTCCTTTAGGGCCCAGATGGAGGCCTTTAGGGCCCGAAAGGGGCACATTCCCCCCCCCCCCCCCCTCATATGTCGTCCCCCATTCATTCGCGCCCAGGGCTCATTGGAGTGCCCCGATCGGTGAATGCGTTGCGATAGCAGCCGTCCGCGCGCTTGTGCTCGGCTTCCCTTGGCTCCCCCGAAGGCCGCGCAGCCAAGGGAGGTCGCTCTTGCCCGGCGTCGCTCCAGCGTGCAGCCCGGGGCGCGGAGCGGCCTCTTGTTCGGCACCCGTCCTCCTCCTCCTCCTCCTCCTCCTCCTCCCTCCTCCTCCTCCTCCTCCTCCTCCTCCTCCTCCTCCTCCTCCTCCTCCTCCCTCCCTCGGCTGAGGAACCAAGACGGGTCCAATATGGCTCAAGCGAGCCTTCCCAAGAGTGGCCCGGGGGGCACGCCCGAGCGACCATGTGTTGAGCAGGTTCCTATTGGGTCCCCCCCCCAGCTTGCGAGCCCCAGCTCCTCCAGACAGGGGGGGGGGGGGAACGAACCTCTGCCAGCCATTCCTGGCCGCCCTCTAGTTGCCAGGCCAAGTCGCAGTGCAGAGGGGAAGAGGAACCGGAACAGGAGGAGTTTAACGAGGAGGCGAGACAACGGGGAGGGTCTCCCTCGTTTTCTCACTTCCTCCTCTGCTCCATGGTCCTCTCTCCTCCCTTCCTCCTCTGCTCCCTCCCTCCCTTCCTTCCTTCTCTCCTACTTCCTCCCTTCCTCCCTCCCTCCCTTGCCCCTCCTTCTTCCTCCCTTCCTCCCTTCCTTCCTTCCTCTTCCTCCCTCCCTTCCATTCCTTGCCTCCCTTCCTCCCTTCCTTCCTTTCTTCCCTCCTTCCCTTGCCCGTCCTCCCTTCCTCTTCCTCCCTTCCTTCCATTCCTCCTCCCTTCCCTCTCCTCCCTTCTCTCTTCTCCCTCCCTTTCTCCTCTGCTCCCTCCCTCCCTCCCTCCCTCCCTTCCTCCTCTTCTGTAATGCCCCTCTCAGGGTCCGAGATATGACCCTGCCCCCCCCGGCATGGGCTTCTTGCGGAATGCGTTTTCTGATCTCGCCAGGTGTACTTAGGCCTGCCAGTGCCTTCGCATAATGAAGTGCCCTTCCATACGTATCCTCGCACGTCGCGGAGCACAGCACAGAACACCATGTTGTGAAGGCTTTACGGCTGGTGCCGTCGACCCTGAAGGACGACGACGACGACGACGACGACGACGACGGCCCTGCCACAGGCTCGGGACATGGGGCGGGAGGTGGAGGGAGAGAGGGAGGGAGGGAGGGAGGGACGGATGACGCTCGACAGACCGGCTCGCGGTTCGGCATCGTCGTTCCAGATGCCTCTGCATTGGTTGCTTCTGGAGGCACCACGGCCGCACGCAATGCTCGACAGACTGGCCAGGATGCACGGACCCTGGGAGGGGTCAGGGGACCGCATTGGAACGCAAATAGGCGGAGCGTTCAGGCAGCGTTAAGCGAGAGGAGGAAGAGGAGGAGGAGGAGGAGGAGGAGGAGGAGGAGGAGGAGGAGGAGGAGGAGGAGGAGGAGAGGAGGAGGAGGAGGAGGAGGAGGAGAGGAGGAGGAGGAGGAGGAGGAGGGGAGGAGGAGGAGGAGGGAGGAGGAGGAGGGAGGAGAGGAGGAGGGGGAGGAGGAGGAGGAGAAGGGAGGAGGAAGAGGGGGGGCACATGGGAAGAGGGGGGGGGTGCGAGATCTGCTGCGCGCGGCCGGCCTCGGCCACGCCCGGGCGCCATCCTCGATGCATGGGCGCCCGACGGCGCCTGCTGGCGCCGGGGAGTTGGGGGGAAACTGCAAGAGGGCGGAGGGACAGGGGAGGAGGGGAGGAGGAGGAGGAGGAGGAGGAGGAGGAGGAGGAGGAGGAGGAGGAGGAGGAGGTAAGGAGGATAAGGAGGGGGAGGAGGAGGAGGAGGAGGAGGGAGGAGGAGGAGGAGGAGGAGGAGGAGGAGGAGGTGGATGAGGAGGCGGAGGTGGAGGTGGAGCCAGCGGAAGTGCAACGGCGGGTCCGCCACCAGGAGGCCGGGGGAAGGCTGCGGCAGTAGAAGCGAGGCGCCAACACGTCGGGATCCACGGCTCCCGCTTCTCTCGCAGTCCGTCCTCTGGGCCTCCTTGGCCACCCCCCGCGGTGCTGTTAGAGGAAGAATGCACTGTACGCATGAATTTGGAGGTCCGCGAGGATTTCTTGGATCGGCACTCGGAAACCCCTCCCTGGCGTGCGCAGCGCACCGGGGGCGGCGCGCTGATCCATGCACACCACGCGAAACTCGCTGTATGTTTATGCTGCAATGTGTTCCTGCAGCCTTCAGGCACGTTGGGCCAGGGCCGGGAATGTAACACAATTACCGCGGTGCGGGTGATAATCCGACAAGGCGACGAATGAGATACCAACGGTCGTAAAGAGGATTCTTTGGGAAACGCAGTGGGATCGTGAAAACACCTAGAGGATTCATGAGGGAACCTTGATGAGTTCTTCGGAAGCCCAGAAAGTCCGAGGGTTCCTAAGGAGGCCAGTCGTCCAGCAACACCAGGCTCCCCCATCCCCGCGGCAGTGCTTCGTCCTCGATCCACTTGTCATGCCCCTGACGCCCCGATAGTGAATCCCGGAGGCCGAAATCGATGACAAATGCCAGGATTGAAAAGCACAGGTGTGTATATATATATATGTAAATGTATATACGTATATGCATATGTATATATATATATATTCATAATTAGATATATACATAGTATGTATATATATATATATCGTCGGAGATGTGAGGGTCGCCATGGGCCAGGGCCGCCTGGCAAGACAAGACTGGCGGCCGCTTTCGAGCCCTCGCACTGCGGTGTCCAATTGCCGATCTGGTATCGGATGCCGCCCGTGGGGCTTCTCCGTTCAAACCCTGACCCCCCGCCGAGGTTTCAGCAGTCTGACGTGCATGGGTACGGCGTTACGCGCGGCTCCCGCACACGACCCCTCATCCGAGATCAGGGGCCTTGTGCACGTGCAGAACGGGCGGACAGAAACGCGGGCGAAAATGCAGATGCAATCGCAAGCATCAAAATCATCAGCGAACACAGCGCGCATCATCCGCGCGTCCACTTCAGTACCCATTCGCGCACCCGTGTCTACTCACGGCGCACCGTATGGGGAGGGAGGCTCAAAAGGCATTGTCGGAACCGCGAGGCAGAGCCCCATGAGGCGGGCCTTCTCAGAAGGCTCAGAAACATCTGGCCTTCTGCGAGTTGCCATAGAATGGGGCGTCAGTATGACTGTCCCTGAGGCCTCCATGCCTGCTGTTGCGCTTGTTCCCCAAGCGCAGGTTTCCCCTCCCTCCCATGTTCGGATGTTGGCGCAGGTGGCAGAGGCCCTCAGAGCTGAAGACGCTCCGCCGCTGATGCCTGCCATTGGGGAGAGATGCCTCGAGGATGACTCAGGCTAGCTTCTCTTGCCACGAAGTCTTACCATGCCTGCAGAGCTTGGTGCGGTGCGGCACGCAGTCACACAGCCGGCCTCCTGCGAAGCGTTCCGAGTCTGCTCCGAAGCCCCGCCTCCTTCCAGGGAGGAGGCCCGCCCCACTCGGCGCGCCGCCGACCTACGTCCTGCCTGTCCCCGAGAACTGCACCGCGGAGTTGGCTCCTCTGCCTGCCTCTCTCTCCTCCTCCTCCTCCTCCTCCTCCTCCTCCTCCCTCTCCTCCTCCTCCTCCTCCTCCTCCTCCTCCTCCTCCTCCTCCTCCTCCTCCTCCTCCTCCTCCTCCTCCTCCTCCTCCTCCTCCTCCTCCTTCTCCCCCCGCCCACCCGAGGCGCTGCGGGCACTTCGCATCGCGCGCGTCGTGCGGTGCGCCCGCCTGTTCCGCCTGGGCCTGCTGGGCAGCCGCCTGGAGATGTTTATCGAGGAGAACCCCGGCCTGGGTCCCCCTGGGAGACTGCCAAATACTGCCAAGTTCTCTCTGACGCAGACTTACACTTGGCAGCGGCGCTGCCCCAAAATGCCCTGGCTGCGAAATCTTGAGACTGGAGATCTTCCGTTTGGCGACGGTGCCTCCGATAAACCACTTTCGCGCTCACGGTGCGCTTTCGAGATTTGGGAAGGGGCTGGCATGAGGATCGCTCGCCAGCGAACATCTTCCTCTGGCTTCATTTATGTTGGCGGTGGCGCCGTACACAACTGCACCACACCACAGACAAAACTAAGCGACATGTAAGGAAGTGGGAGCTGGCCGGGTGATGACACGGAGCGGAAAGCATGGGCAAGCAGACACTTTCGGATGTCCGCGCGCTGGACCCTCCTCCCTGGCGCGCGGAGCGCGCCAGGGGCGGCGCCATAGGCGACGCCAGGGGGTGTCAAGTGCCGATCCAAGAGATCTGCGCGGACCTCCGAAAGGCCATGTTTATGAGGTTGTTTACTTCTCGGGCACCAATGGTCGAGTAGGGGGTCGACTACGGAATTGATTTATCCCAGTAATGGTTTCTGCCCGTCATAAATTTACGAACGAGTGTACGAGTTCTTTGTGCATTCGAGGAGAACATCAATTCGTGGGTAAATCAATTTGGGAGTCGATCTCCTACTCGACATGGGGGGACTAGACCCGGCCCAGCGGGGAGACGCATCGGCCCCCCATCGCCCACGCATTGCCGGACTGGTCCGTCCCTCCCCTCCCACCGCACCCCGCCCAGTGACGCGCGGCTTCGCTATCGGGTGCCTATCCTGGATCGATCGGCGATGTATCGCCGATCCCAGTTCCCTGCCGCCCCCCCCCTGAGACAGTCCCCCCCCCTTGCTGTTCCCCCTCAGCCGGGAGCAGCGGGGTCTCGGCCGGTGCTCCCGCGTGTTCGTGTGTTTCCGTGGCTTCCCGAGGTCTCCAGGAGGAGCTATGGGAAGAGGAGGAGTAAGGGCAGAGGATCAGGAGGAGGAGGAGGAGGAGGAGGAGGAGGAGGAGTACCAGGAGGAGGACAAGGATGAGGAGGAGGAGGAGGAGGAGGAGGAGGAGGAGGAGCCGGTCCCAACCCAGCGCCTTGCCTCATGACAGGAGGGCGCCGACTAGACGCCGACATGGATCCTGGCCAGGCCGAGCTTGGGCCCAGCATCGGTTTGTACACAGTGGAGGCCAATACCAAGACACACCCTGCTCGCCTCCTGGGAGGAGGAGGAGGAGGAGGAGGAGGAGGAGGAAGGAGGAGGAGGAGGGGGAGGAGGAGGAGGAGGAGGAGGAGCAGGAGGAGGCGGGGGCGGAGGGGGAGAAGGAGGGGGAGGAGGAGGAGGAGGAGGAGGAGGAGGAGGAGGAGGAGGAGGAGGAGGAGGAGGAGGAGGAGGAGGAGGAGTAGGAGGAGGGGGAGAGTTCTACCCTGCGATGCTGGGTTGGCCTTGCGCGAGGCCGCGCAGGGACACGAGGGCGGGGGCAACCTGCGAGGTCCAGGGCCGACCAAAGAACGCGCCCCTTTTTTGCACGGGTTCGTCACGTACAGTGGAGACCCATGCCGAGAAACATTCCGCTCGCCTCCTGGGTGGCCTGGATTGCTTGGGGTTCGATGGCCTTGCTCTGGAAAGCGTAGCGTGCCCACACCAGAAATCAAGGGACGTCCCGGGGTCTCAGGGCTGGGTTTCTTGTGGAAGTTTCCTCGTGGTCGGGCCCCCTGTTGTATGCCTCCCTGTCCAAGAAGCCCCGCAGGGCGCGCACGCCGATCCCGGGCCAGCCCAGGAAAGGCCTGGCCGGGGTCGGTGTTGGAGGTCTGGGGCGAGACCGAAGTGAAGCGGAGGCTTCCGAGCGGGACATCGGTTTCGAGTTCTTTTCGTGCCGTGCGTGAGGCGCGTGCACTCCGCGGTCGCCCTCTCCTCCTTCACTCTCTTGCTGCCGGTCAATTCGTACGCCACGCGCCCCAGGCTAGTAGAGCGCGCGTGCGGATCTCCCCTTCCGCGCTGCGACGTTAAGAAAGTCCGTGAGGCGCGTGCGGGCGAGGCGAAGTTGCGCGACGGCGAGAGAGATCCTGCCCTACAGTTACGGGGCGGTCACGTCAGATTGCTTCGCTCCAGTGCGCGCGTCAGGGGGCCCGGGGTGTCATTGGTTGTGCTGGGGTTGTCCCCGGGGTTGTCGAGCGGTCGGCCCGATGTTTGTCTTGATGGTTGTCCCGGCGGTTGTTCCATCCGTTGTCTTGCGGTTGTCCTATGGTTATTCTGAAGTTGTTTGGGGTTCGTCTTGTGGTTGTCCAGTGATTGTCCCGAGATTGTCCAGTGATTGTCCCACGGTTGTCGCGTGGCTGTCTCGTGGTTGCGCCGTGGCTGTTCCGTGGTTGTCCAGCTGTATCTGTCCTACCATTGATGCTTCTCCATGGTTGTCCTACGAGTGGCATATATCTACATTCGTAGAGAGTGAGGCCCCTCGATCGGTAGACTTTCGGATCGCATCTTCGCGCCATGACACTCGTATCGATCGATAGCGAAACCGATGATATAGTGACAGGTGCGAAAAATGAAGGGTGGACCAGTAAACATACTGGCAATGCGATTGGTATGTCGGTATTGGGACCACTGGGCGGTTACACCGACCTTTATATATAGGAATCGATAGACAGATTAATCATGACACCGAGACATACTTCAGAACAGGGTGGGTTGGGTTGACAGTTGCCCCGATCGGTATTTAGTGAGTGCAATCACCATGTTGGAAGTCAGATGGGTGAAGGTGGCACATAGTTTGTTCGAGATCTATTGGGCACATGTAACACCAGCCTTCGGGTAATAAGGAGGTGTGGGGTGATGATGGGTCCAGTTGTCTTCTTGTTATTTTGCGAAGGATCGGATTCGCGCCCCATCGTTCTAACAGTCCATGTGTATACATATACATACACCCATCTAGTTTCTGAAGGGGGCTTGCATGTAGGGGTTCGTAGTTCTGTTCTAGGGAGCTGGGCCGCCCACGACCTGGGCCGCATAGGGAACTGTGCTAGTTCTGTATATCTGAGTCTTTCTATGCTCTTATTTGTAGCACCACCGTATATTCACAGATCTCCTTATCTATCTTTCGCTTGTCGAATGATGTAAACGGGACAACCACGGGACAGCCGTCACACCCACAACCATGGGACAAGCACGCGACATTCACGCGAAAACCAGAAACAGCCACGTGAGGACCACGAGACAACCGCGGGACAACCACGGAACAATCGGGACAAGCATGGGTCAATCACGTGACGTATTCGGGACGGCCAAAGGACATTTTGTTTATCATATTGTTTCACGTTCCGTCATGTATGTTCATATCTTCCCTGATCGCCAAAGAGGCCTGACAGCCGGAACCATTGGTTTGCCCTCCCAGGTTTCGCTTTGGGCGTGTTGAAGGTACTCTTCCTGCTGGTATTTGTCACGCACTGCTCTGCGTGCGTGTGGTTTCTCATCGGGTCGTTGGACGGTGGCGAGCTCAGCTGGGTGAACAAGCATCTCGACAATGACATTGATTCATCCAAGGCGTACGTGTACTCGCTGTATTTCACTCTGACAACGATGACTACCGTTGGCTATGGCGACATCGTCGCAACGAATTTCAACGAGGCGCGCTTGTCGCGCCGAACCTGCCAGCGTGTGCGAGGGTTTCTTTTGTTGTGGGGGGTCTTTCTTTCACCTCCCCTCCCTGTGGCTACCTCGCCCCCACCCTCAAGGAGCGCCAGCCCGTGAAAGACCGAGCCATGTCGCAGTCGAGCCAAAGGAATGCCCTCTCCGTTCGCTCTTCCTTGGTATCCCTCGCCTCGGGATGGAAGGGGGGTGAGAAGTGCTTGGGGTCGGTCCGGAAGTTCCCGGGAGAGTCTCAGGACATTTGGCGGCAAGTTGGGGTAACAGTTTGGGGCCGTTTTGAGTCATCGCTGGGACAGATTCAAAGCAGCCTCTTGCGAGCTGGCGTCCCCAACTCGAGCCACCTGCGCCCCCCTCCTTGCAGCCTCCTGCTGCGCCCCGGCTGGCCCCTGCCCGTGTGCCGCAGAAGGTCGAGGGGAGGGAGCCCGCTCCTCCGCTCGTCCATATCCGGCGCGCGGCTAGGGACTGCTGCACGTCCGAGGCTTATGAGATCGACAACGAGCAACAGTGAGGGAGGACGAAGCAAGGACTTGGCGACGACGACGACGACGACGGCGGCGGCGGCAAGATCATCCTGGCCAGCTGTTCGAACCGCGTCCGGCCGTCGAGCAGCGCCAGGAGCCCCCCCAAGAACACGAGGGCCGAACGTATCCGCATCCGCGCCCTCGCGGTCTGGACTCCTTGGCGCGATCCCGCGGATACGCGGTCGTACGGATACGTTCCGCGCGGGGCGTCTTACCAGCGGGGCGCACACGACAAGAGCTTCTGAAGCGACGTCGGCGGTGGCGAGGTGTGCTTCGTCCTGCTTCTGCTGCTCTTGGCCTCGGTCGTCTTCGCATCGCTCATGGGCGAGCTCACAGCCACGCCCCCAAGCGCCGACCGCTCGCGCGCACCGCGTGGGCCGAGCCCGATCGTCGCCCCGCCGATCGTCGTGCCGGAGTGATTTCGAAGAAGAGCAAAACGGCCCAAACATTTTAATTGTCGTAGCTCCGCGCGGATGTCTCGGATCGCCGCTGGGCCCCCCTGGCGGCATTTCCGGCGCCGTTCCTGGCGCGCTCCGCCCATCAGGGAAACGGTCCAGCGCAATATCTAGACATCTCCGCGGGGTTCCGACAGTTTCTGCTCATGCCGATTGCTGTTCCTCCGACATCGTTGCTGTCGTTCTGGCGCCGCTGGGGCGGACCGAGGATCGCCACGACGACGCCGACGCAATCCGTCGACGGCTCTGTTGCGGAGGCTCTGGGGCGCGTTCACGATCCTCGTGAGGGGCGTGCCGAAATGGCCCGAGGCCGCTGATGAGAGGAGGGAGGAGGGGGCAGCGGGAGGAGACGCGGGGCGCTGTCTCTTCAAAACGAGGACCCAACACCACAGGATGGTTGGGAAAAAATAGCCTGGAAACTATGCTTTGTTTTTTTGGGTCATTTTGGAATATATTTTGAATAGGTTTAATTTTCCCCCACATCCTAAGTGGGGTTCTTGTTTTCTCTGCACACGCTCCGCGCAGGATCTCTCCTCCTCCTCCTCCCTCTCCTCTGCTCCTCTTTGCTTCCTCCTCCGCATCATCATCACCATCACCATCACTCCCCACTCATCATCATCATCATCATCATCATCATCATCATCATCATCATCATCATCATCATCATCATCATCATCATCATCATCATCATCAGCATCACCATCACCATCGCACGATCACTCACCATCATCGGCATCGAACGATCATCATCATCATCATCATCATCATCATCATCATCATCATCATCATCATCATCATCATCATCATCATCGCTGACTTGAGGCCTGAATATGGAGGAAGTATCAGGCGGGAGCCTCGTCTGTGAGTGAATTGTGAGGAAGTCTCAGGCGGGAGCCCCCTCCCTATGGGGCCCGCACTTCATGTTCGAATCCGAGCGGGTCATCCGCAACGTGCAACTGTCGTCACTTTTGGGCTCTTGAGACCTGAATATGGAGGAAGTATCAGGCGGGAGCCTCGTCTGTGAGTGAATTGCGAGGAAGTCTCAGGCGGGAGCCCCCTCCCTATGGGGCCCGCACTTCATGTTTGAATCCGAGCGGGTCATCCGCAACGTGTAACTGTCGTCACTTTGGGGCTCTTGAGGCCTGAATATGGAGGAAGTATCAGGCGGGAGCCTCGTCTGTGAGTGAATTGTGAGGAAGTCTCAGGCGGGAGCCCCCTCCTTATGGGGCCCGCACTTCATGTTCGAATCCGAGCAGGTCATCCGCAACGTGCAACTGTCGTCACTTTTGGGCTCTTGAGACCTGAATATGGAGGAAGTCTCGAGCGGGAGCCTCGTCTGTGAGTGAATTGCGAGGAAGTCTCAGGCGGGAGCCCCCTCCCTATGGGGCCCGCATTTCATGTTCGAATCCGAGCGGGTCATCCGCAACGTGTAACTGTCGTCACTTCTTGGGCTCTTGAGACTGAATATGGAGGAAGTATCAGGCGGGAGCCTCGTCTGTGAGTGCATTGCGAGGAAGTCTCAGGCGGGAGCCCCCTCCCTATGGGGCCCGCGCTTCACGTTCGAATCCGAGCGGGTCATCCGCAACGTGCAACTGTCGTCACTTTTGGCTCTTGAGGCCTGAATATGGAGGAAGTCTCGAGCGGGAGCCTCGTCTGTGAGGGAAGTGTGAGGAAGTCTCAGGCGGGAACCCCCTCCCTATGGAGCCCGCACTTCATGTTCGAATCCGAACGGGTCATCCGCAACGTGCAACTGTCGTCACTTTTGGGCTCTTGAGACTTGAATATGGAGGAAGTCTCAAGCGGGAGCCTCGTCTGTGAGTGACTTGTGAGGAAGTCTCAGGCGGGAGCCCCCTCCCTATGGGGCCCGCGCTTCACGTTCGAATCCGAGGGTCATCCGCAACGTGCAAGTCGTCACTTTGGGCTCTTGAGGCCTGAATATGGAGGAAGTATCAGGCGGGAGCCTCGTCTGTGAGTGAATTGCGAGGAAGTCTCAGGCGGGAGCCCCCTCCCTATGGGGCCCGCACTTCACGTTCGAATCCGAGCGGGTCATCCGCAACGTGCAACTGTCGTTATTTTTGGGCTCTTGAGGCCTGAATATGGAGGAAGTCTCGAGCGGGAGCCTTGTTTTTGAGTGAATTGTGAGGAAGTCTCAGGCGGGAGCCCCCTCCCTATGGGGCCCGCGCTTCATGTTCGAATCCGAGCGGGTCATCCGCAACGTGCAACTGTCGTCATTTTTGGGCCCTTGAGATTTGAATATGGAGGAAGTCTCGAGCGGGAGCCTCGTCTGTGAGTGACTTGCGAGGAAGTCTCAGGCGGGAGCCCCGTCCCTATGGGGCCCGCGAATCATGTTATTAATCCGAGCGGGTCATCGGAAACCTATAATTGTAGTCACTTTTGGGCTCTTGAGGCCTGAATATGGGAGAAGTATCAGGCGGGAACCTCGTTTGTGAGTGAATGGCGAGGAAGTCTCAGGCGGGAGCCCCTTCCCTATGGGGCCCGCAGATCATGTTAGTTAGTTTTGAAATATACGCAGAAGAGACAAGCCAGGACGCCTCACCAACCACGAGGACGACGGTGAGGGCTTTTCCCAGATTCGCCCAGAGGATTCTCATGCGGGGTCCTTCCGTCGGAGTAATTCGTCGAAAATCCCCTCTGTAGGGGGACACGCCCGACTTAAAGCTAAGCTGCCCTCTCCTCCCTGGGACCTCCCCAGCGGACCCCCTAGGCATCGATAGAGAAGGATTGCGTCATCTGATGCTCTCGCTCGTTACGTGGCCAGGGCGCGAACTCAGTGCGCCCTGCCCTAAACGTTTCGTGGCAACGCCTGGAAGGGGGAAAACTGTGTGTTTCACTCTACCTGCTGCGTGGCAGCGCAAGGAGGCGGAACAATTGCACGTTTATTTTCGACGCAGGGAGCTGCAAACCAAGAGCGCGTTGCTCTACCCATCAGGAAGTCCCCCTCCCTCCTTGACCCTCGACCCCTTGCTTCACAAAGGGGGGGAGGGGGTTAGCTTCTAAAGCCCCCCCCTTCGAAAGTGAGACCCTGGTTCACCTTGGAAGCCGACATGTGGGGCGTCCGGGGCCCCCCCCCTTGATTACGACAGGGGGGGTTGGGGGTGGCTTTTCCCGGGCTCCTCCCCCTTCCTCTGCAACGGGAAGCCCCGGTGTCGAAAAGAGGAAGGGGTGAGTTTCCGGAACCCGCCCCTCTCTTTTCAAAGGGGGGCCCCAGCTTCCCACAGGGAGGAGGGGCGTAGCTTCGGACCCCCCCCCCTTGTGGAAGGAGGGGGGCGAGGGCTTGAATCTGGGGACCCCCTTTGGATCTTCCCAGCCCCCGTGGCGCGCTGTCTCGCGCCCTCTTCCTTCTCTGTGGCCCCCGCGCGCCTGGCTTCGGGGCCGGCGAGCAGCAGCTCGGGATGAACGTGGCCCGTCCCCAGGGGGGAGGGCGCTCGAGACCTCCAGGGGTCCGCGTTGCGACGAGATCACGATCTCCGGGGGCTGGGATCGAGAATCCAGGATGGTCAGGAGCGAAAGAAGGACGTACACGTACATGACTCCACGCCGGTTTTGAGAGCACGCACTGCCCGAAAGTTCGTATCACGCGGCCGGTCTCGCAGATCGAGGGGCCGCGTTCATGTGCATAGCTGGGCGCGTACGTCCTGTGTGGGCTCCCTAGATGGATTGCCTGCTGCGGTCTCCCGCGTTGGGGGCCCCTCTGAGCCAGATCCGCCCCGGAGTCCTCCTCCTCCTCCTCCTCCTCCTCCTCCTCCTCCTCCTCCTCCTCCTCCTCCTCCTCCTCCTCCTCCTCCCTCCTCCCCCTCCTCGCACCGCGCCCCACTGAGGGGTCCAGGGGTCGAGACGCGGGCCCCCCCGGAAGCTGCGCTCTCCCCCGGGGGCGGCCTTCTCATCCCGAGGTGAGCTCCGATGGACGCAGGGCTCAGAACCGGCCTCTGGAGAGCCCCGAGCTTGCGACACGAAGCACGAGATGTCCGGTGGTCTTATCGAGCCGACGGACGTCCGGAACTGGCCGCCGCGCTCGCGGCCGTGGCGGGCCCCTGCAGCATATATAAGGACCTGATACGCGCCCTCAACAGGAAGTCGCACAACCTGGGCGAGCACAAGCAGAAGCTGCGTGGGCCTCAGCGGCCACGCGAGCCTCGCCCGCCGCTGGTCGAACATGAGGGCCGAGTTTTGGTGGCGGTGTTGTTGCCCTTCTGTTCGGATGACCTGTGCGCAATTGGCCCAGCAGCGGCTCCGCTTAGGAGTCGAACGCGGTGTGCGATCGCCATCGCTGCGGAACAGATGTTGCCCTTCTGAGCTTCTGTAGGCTCTTCGACGTCTGCGGGGACTTCTAAGGGCCCTATTCTAGAGGAGTATATGTGATCGGATACTTTTCTTCGAAGCAGTATCTTGTCGCCGCGCTGTTTGCTCCGATGCGAAGCGTTCCGCCTTAGGGAGGGCGCCTCGACCACCAGGGTAAATGCCGCCTCCAGCGCAGGCGCGATCATTCAATCGTCGTCCTCTTCCACCTCCACCGAATTTCAGTGGCTCGTCTAGCCACCTCTCTGCCCCCTCTCCTTCTCCTGCTCCTGCTCCTCTTCACGCCCCATCCTCATGCGCCTGTGTGGGCGAGGGCCCGCACTGCAGTTCCGGGAGGATCGGCACCCCAGCGTCTCATCTGATCTCATCCATTCCTAGCCCTCCCCGTCCCTACTCCGTCTCCTCCTCCTCCTCCTCCTCCTCCTCCTCCTCATCCTCCTCCTCCTCCCTCGCCGTCCTGCTCCTCAATTCCTCCCGCGATGCCTCGCGGCTCCTGCGCATCCTGCCCCACATGCCCCTCCTCCCTCACCCCGCGCACGTTCCTCCCCACCCCTTCCCCTCTCCGTAGCCGCGCTGGCTCCAGGCCCTGGCTCGGCACCCTCTCCCTGGGGAGCTGCCCCCACCCTTGCACGCCACGCGGCGACACGGTCGGGTGGCAGTCCGAGCGCCATGCTGGCGAAGGAGCTGCTGTGCCTGGTCGGCGTGCTCCAGCCTGCCGTCCCACGGGCCGGCTACCTCGCAGAGGTCTGGCACAAGGTCAACGCCGACATCCAGGAGCGAGAGCTCCGGGGACACTTTGTGGGCTACGAGAACAGTTCTGGATACCCTGTTCCCACGTACCTTTCCAGGCCTGCCTTCGACGGAAAGACTCGTCGCCCCGCGGTCATCGTGGTGCACCACGCAGTCGGCATTTACAATCACGAGTTTCTCCGCAAGTTTACGGACGACCTTGCAGAAGAAGGTTTCATAGCGGTTCTCCCAGACTTTTTCCATCGGGTGTGGGACGACAAGACGGTGCCAAATGGCATTGGTATACCCGTAGAGCAGATGAATATCATGGGGGCTTTGGGCAGTCTGAAGGACAAAGAGATCTTAGACGACTTGCGGACGGTCATAGCCAAGCTCGAGAAGGACACCTACGTTCGTTCTGAAAGTATCGGTATCCTCGGTTTCTGCATGGGTGGCAGGATCGCATGGCTCGCAGCTGTTGCGCCAGAATTGCAAGGTAAGATCAAAGCTGCGGTACCGTATCACGGTGGCAACGTCTTTAAAGGGCTCGGCGACGGTGCGGTGGCCCCTGCCGAGCGAATAAAGACTAGCCTTCAGTGTCCAGTGTTGGGGCACTTCGGCGCGGTGGACAAGAACCCCTCGCCGGCGGACATGGCAAGGCTGAAGGAGCTTGCTGGTGACAAGTTGAAGACAAAGGTCTACCCTGGCGCAGACCATGGTTTCGCCTGTAGAGACTCTGCGAAGTACGTCGAGGACGCCGCCACGGAAGCCTGGACCGAGACATTAAGTTTCTTGAAGGATACCCTTGGTGAGCCAGAAGTTGAACAGACAGTCGAGTTGTAGCTGCACCAGCGCTTGGCAAAGTCGAGTGGTTGACGAACCCTCTCGCTATTGAAACGCACTCGCGACTGTGCGGTACGGGTCCCCCAGTTCCTGGCGGATCTTCGATCGATCGACAAAGCAGGGTGCTGACATCGGCGGGGGGAAGAACACATGATATTGACATGTATGGGGGTGAGGAGTGTAGACGAAGGAGAGAGGAGGGGAGAGAGGGGTAGGAGGAGGAGGGGAGAAGGGATGGGGGACAAGGATGTGGATCAGTGGACGTGGGCATGGAGGGAGGGAGGGAGGGAGGTGGAGGTGGAGGAGGAGGGGGAGAAGGAGGAGAAGGAGGACGGTGATGGTGCTGGTGATGTTGATCGTGATGGTGATTGCGATGTTCCTGGTGATGGTGATGGTGGTGTTGGTGCTGGTGTTGGTGATGCTGATGATGGTCCTTTCTTTCGAATTTTAATGCCGAACGGGGGGGTGAGAGGCCGAATGCTTGCATACCGCAGCGTCCGGCTCTCGAGCTGGAGCCGCAGTGGGGCCGCGGTGCCTGGCTTGGCTCGGCCTCCTGAGGAAAATCCTGAACCTGGTGGATCGCTGGGGAGTGCCCGCGCTGCAGGCCTGGATCTCGCGCTGTCCCGCCTCACGCGTCCCTGCCTGCCCCGCGTGCCGGCCTGCCCGCCGTGCCCAGGGGGCGACGGCGGGGGCGACGACCGTGTCACCGGCCTGCGCCGGCGCGTCGCTGGCGTGGGCCTCCATGGGAGCATTGGGCGTCCTTGTCCTGCTGCGCGTCTTCGGCCCGCTCCGCTTCACCGCCAACGCGAAGCCCTCCCTTCCCGCCGCCTCTCCCGCGGCGGCCGCCGCTCCCTCAGGTCGTGCTGCTCCCCTCGCTCTCGCTGCTGCTGCAGATGGCGGAGGCGTGGGCTTGGGTCTACAACGTGGGCGGCGCGCCGCTCTTCCACCCAAGGGAGGTCGTGGGCCGATTGGCGCTCACGAGTGACGTGCGCACAGTGGCGCCCGACGACATGGTCTACGCGGAGCGGCCGCTGGCGGCGGGGCTCGACTTCGCGGCGGTGCGCTTCGCTGCCGCGCGCCGGCCACCGCCGCCCGGGATCGCGCCAGAGGCGGCCTACCGCTTCGGGCGGGCGCCGCCGGCCGCCAGCAAGGCCGCTTGCTTGGCAGCCGCCGCGGCCGATGCCGCAGCCGAGTTCGCCTGCTGCCACCCAGGCGCGGCGGCCCCACCAGGGCTGGCGGCTTGGCCGCCGCGGCCGCCCCTCCTCTCGCGGCAGGAGGCGCCGTGGCGCCCGCGGCCTCACAAGATTTACGAGGAAAGATGGACACGAGTAGTGATTGTTGGGCTTCGTGGAGCAAGTTCGTAGCCGCCGCTGTGTGGAGAAGGTGGGAGACCCGTGGGCCTTGGTGGCTCCAGCGAGTCTGGCATCCGTGCCAGGATTTGCAGCTGTGAGGTGAAGCGGATCGAATGCGCAGATGGATGCCGCAGAACTGCAGACTGCGATCATCATCTGTTGGCGACATGTGCGGCTGCATGGCCAAGTGAGGTAGGGTTCAGCTGAGGAGTGCAAAGGAGGTTGCTCGCACACTGCTGGCACGCAGTAGTGTCGTGCGGCGGAGGCGATGCGTGTCCACACAAACCACGCCAGCCCTCCCTCTAACGGTAACCGAACTTGGGATGTCGCACAATGCCAGTTGCGATCACTTTCTGTTTGCGTCAGGTCTCGATGCTTGGCCGCTTGAGGTAAGGTTGAACTGAGAGGTGCGAAGGAGGTGGCTAAAACGGAAGCGGCGGAGGGGAAAATGAGGTGTGGTGTGAGATGTGTAGCAAGCCTCCTCATCCTGCGCCTCCTCATCTTCCTCCTCCCCCCATGGATGAATAGTCATGTTCCAGTATTGGTGGGACCCCAGTCCGTCAATGAGGTCGCCGACAAGATATTCAGTTCCCATGTATTTGGGAGGGCTCCTGAGGACCTATCGAGGTTAGCCATTCGAAGAGACGAAAGGGGCAGCGACATGGGGTAACGCAGGGAAAGGGGTAGTAAGGTTCTCGAATGCATGGGAGCACGGCCACGCCGACAGGTAGTTCATCCGCCAATTCGGTTGTTGAAGCAATCAGCGGATCCGAAAGTAGTAGAGAGGGTTACGCTTGAGCATTTACATTGAGAAGTCAGTGTCTGTGGGATCGTCACACACACGCACACACGCACTCGCGCAACCCTGCGCATTCCGCGTTACGTGGCAAACACCCCTGTACCACTGCATTTGCTTTGCTGCCTCACGGGCCTGAGCACACCTTCGGTAAATCATCATCCCATAACCCCAACGTCATGATTTTTTAAGTCTCGACCCCCAGAGGTTTCGACCCCTTGCCCAGATCCAGCTTTTCATCCCGAGTCGTTTTTTGACAGTCCCGAGGGCTGGTAAGGGCCCCAAGAGGTCGAAAATAGTGAAACACCTCCCGCTCGTGAGTTTTGTACAGCGTAGCTCGCCTCCTGTTTGCTCTTTCTTCGCTTTTGCTTCTTCCTCACCGTGTTTTCCTTCCCCCCTCCTGCCGCGGAATTTAGGCCGTTGCTAGTCGGCCGCGTTTCTTGACGGCGCCCGGCATCCCGGTGCGATTGCGAAGAAAAAATGACCCCACCAGCCCATCCAGAAACGAGGCTCATCCCAATTGCCCCGGTCAGGGACGTGGACGAGCTCGCAGTGGCATAGAGGGATGGGAAGTTGCCGTACCCCAAGAGGGGGAGGATGGAGGAGGAACTGGAGGAGGAGGAGGAGGAGGAGGAGGACGAGCAGGAGGAGCAGGAGGAGCAGGAGGAGGAGGAGGAGGAGGGGAATGGGGGAGGGGGAGGAGGGAATAGGAGGGACGGGCGGATGGTGAGGATGAGGAGGAGGAGGAGGATGAGGAGGAGGAGGAGGAGGAGGAGGAGGAGGGCGAGCAGAAAGGTCGAATCCTCCTGGATGTCTCTCTGAGTTTTTGAAAGTTCCTTCGGGTCTCATTGGGGCGTCTCGGGGGCGTCTTGGCGGTTCCATGGGCCTCGTGGAGTATTTAGGGCGCCTCTTGGGGCCTCTTCGGGGCCTCTTGGGGACCTCCTGGGGCCTCCTGGGCGCCTCTTGGGGCCGTCTTGGGAGAACCCTTGAGAGCCTTGGGGGCAATATTGGGGCCAGTTTGGAGGAGATCGATCAGCTAAGGTTGGGCCTTTTATGCCCCCGCCCCCCCCCCACCCAGAGGCCAACATGTGCACAACACCTTTGACAAACCAATGCCTGTTGCCTTCTCGCCGAGGCCTTCTTGGTCGCTCTAATCGGTCGCGGGGCGGCCCGTCCAGGTCCAGGGGATGGGATATGGAGGGGTGAGCGCCTCCCCGAAGGGGAAGGAGGGGGCTCGGGAGAGGAAGCGCTCTAAACCACTAGCGCTTTCAAAAGGCTGGTGGGATTTGCAGATTGCTGTCGGGAGCCGAGCAACAACAGCAACAGTCATGTTGACGCGATCGCTTCAATTTGCCGACGTGTCGGCAAACATGTTTGCCCCGAGCCCTCGATACGGGTACCCGCCCCTTTCTCTTTCGGCCGCGCCCCCTTCTCGGAGGTGGCTTCTCCTTGCCCGCCACAGAGCGTTGGCGCGGATCCTGCAGTCGGAAGAGGGGGGGGGACGGAGGAAACGAAGAGTGGGGCATAGGGAAGAGGGAGAATTGTGCGCTTCGTTGCAGGACCAATTCGTAATCACCTCAACGCTTGGAAATGGCCAAATGTGTTGTGTTTGTCCGCGTGGATACCAGCGAGTAGTGGTCAGTGGGCTTTTCATGGATTTCGGACTTGGTGTTTGGGGCGGCTTTGGTCTTTGGTGTTTGGCGTTTGGTGTTTGGGATTTGCGATTTACAGTTTGGGGTCGGGCATTGGGGCGTTGTTGATTGTTGTTTTTGGTGTTTCGGTTTCGGAGGATGGGGGGTGGCGTTGGCCGTGATGGCATCCGACATGCTAGAATTGACATGTTTGGCCAGGGTTTGGCCAACGCTGGGCCACTTTCCCCCGTTTCGTCCCCTCCTCCTGCAGTCGGACCGAGGCATGAGATCGAGGTCGGTTCGAGGACGGTGCCCTCGTGTTCGTCGTGCGTGTTGGATGTTCTTGTGCATCTTGGGGAGGGTACCCTTGGATGCTATGCTTGCTTTGGCCGGCAGAGGGTCTCATGTTCTCGAAGGCTGTTCCTCTGGCCTGGGTCCGGCTGTGTCTCCATCTCCCTCCTCGTCCCCCTTCTCTGCAGCAATTTTGGCCGAGGTGTCGCCGCGCGCGCCCACGCCAGAGGCCACGGCCGGGGCGGGGCGCCATGCGGCGCGCCGATGGCCGCGGCCCGTCCCGCCGCGCGAAGGAGGCGGAGCCGGCTGGGCCCTTACAGCGGGTGCTGGTGGCCACGAGGGCCGTCCACGGCGTCGTGGCGTCTTGGTGGGACAAGTTCGGGTGGATCCAGCCCGCGCAGGCGCTCGACCACCCACTCGCGGCGAGGCACCACGGCAAGATCTTCTTCTCGGCGCAGGACGCGAGCGGGGTCTCCGGCGTGGGCGAGCACGTCACCTGCTTCGTCTACGAGGACGCCAACGGCCTCGGAGCCATGAACGTGCGCCCCGCCGGCCCAGAGCAGCAGCTGGCGCTCCTGCCTGCCGCGGCACCTGGACAGGACAGTGCCGTTTGTGATACATGCTCCGCGTGCGGATCATGTATTAGAAAATAAAGGGATCTAGTATTAAAAGCAATGCGGAACTTATGAATTTGTAGATTAGTCATGCATCAAACATCGTACTTTTTTGTTCAAGAAAACCCTATGTATTAGAAGCTGCCCTGGAGGGCCCCGTGCCGGTGCTGCCACCCCCCCGGGCGCCGCTGGGCGCGGCGCAGTCGCCGGCTTGCCGGGGCCGCTCGCGGCTCCGGGGCGCCTCGCGCCGGAGGGCGCGGCGCGCCCGCGCCGCGCCCGAGGCCTACGGCACGCGGAGGGGCGGCTACGCCCCGGGGCGGCAGCGGCAGACTCTGCCGGCAGAGCACGGGGACGTGCTCGCGAGGGTGCAGCAGGTTATAGGGGAACAGAAAGTGGCAGAAGCATAAAAACTCGGAGGTCCGCGCGAATTTCTCGGATCGGCGCTGGGGCCCCCCGGCGGCGCCTCCGGCGCCGCCCCTTGCGCGCTACGCGCGCCAGGGAGGGGGGTCCAGCGCCGATCCGAGAAATCCGCGCGGACCTCCGAGTTTTTATGTTTATGTCACTTTTTGTTCCCCTACAGGTGCTGGCCGGCTCGGTGCCGAAGGCCGTCGAGGATGTGGCGCACATGGAGCACGATTGGAACCCTCAGGAGATGGGCAAGAGGATCAGCAAGTGCATTTACAAGGCTCAGGGGCAACGATAGGCGGGGATAGGCCTGAGGGGGGTGCATCGACCCCCAAACCCCCGTTGATTGCCGACAGGGGTGACGGAAAGAGCGTCACGCGGTTCCGTTCTTGGTGGGGCGTCAGCCCAAAGGGGGGGGGTTCAGGGGGGGGTGGACGGGGGCGGGTCAGGTGACGGAAAGCGCGCGTTAGCGTGCGGTCCGTTAGTCGGAAGAAATTTGACTTGGGGGAGTTCGAGGGGGGTGGCATCGCCAGGCCCGGATGACGGAAAGCGCGCGTTAGCGTGCGGTCCGTTAGTCGGAAGAAATTGGACTTGGGGGAGTTCGAGGGGGGTGGCATCGCGAGGCCCGGATCTACTTGCCCTCCCGCCTCGTTTTTTATCGAGTAGGACGGCCTTCGGGGCTTAAAAACAGCGTTTCGCTCGAGACATCATCGGAGAACGCTTCTTGGGCGCTTCTTGGGCCGTCTTAGGCGCCTAAGACAGCCCAAGAAGCGGCCAAGACGGCGCCCAAGACGGCCCAATTCGGCCCAAGAAGCGCCCAAGACGGCCCAAGAGCGCTCCAAGAGAGCCCAAGACCGCCCAAGGCGGCCCGAAGACGTCCCAAGAGGACTCCACGACGCCCCAGGAGGCGCCCACGAGGCGTCCCAAGAGGGCCCCAAGAGGCCAAAATCATTGATTTTCTTATGGAATGCATTTCTAGCATATACGGCTTTTCGCCTGTCATGGCGTTGAAGACGGTCCAAGAGGCCCCCAAGACCGCCCCAGGACGGCCCAAGATGTTTCCAAGAGGCCCCCCAAATAGCCCAAGAGGGCGCCAAGACGGGCCAAGAGGCGCCCAAGACTGTCCAAGAGGCCCCTAAGAGCGCCCCAAGAAGGCCCAAGAGGGCCCCAAAAAACGGCCCAAGAGGGCGCCAAGACGGCCCAAGAGGCGCCAAGACGGCCCCAGGACGGCCCCAAGAAGGCCCCAAGAGGCCCCCAAGAGAGCCCAAAGACGGCCAAAGGCAGCCTAGTCCCTTCACCCCCCGCCACCCAGAAGCTCCCAGGAGGCCCCAAGAGGCCCCCGAGAAGCCCCAAAAGGTCCCCAAGAGGCACCCACGAGGCTCCCCAAGAGCCCCCCAAGAGGCCCAAAATACTCCCAAAGGCTCTTAGCACCGCGGCTCCCAAGAGCGAGCGGTGACGTAATCGAGCTGATAAGACCAAAGCTCCCAACAGAGAGCCGCGGCGTAATAAGTTCTTGACGCCAGGGCACAGGGACGGGCGGCAACGCGTGGGCAACGAGCGGTCCACGCAAGGAAAACGCGGGGTTCTGGAAAGCTGGCAGCCCAAACGCGGAAAACGCAACGCGACCCGACCGCCCCCTCCAAAACAAGAAACGCGCTCAAAGAAAGCTCCGCGACTCTCCGAGGCTGAGGTAGGACAAGAGCGAGGGGAAGGGAGTCAATAAGAGCTGTAAGAGCGGACGAGCCAGCGATCTCGTGCGCTCTGACAGTAAGTGTGCTGTCCGTCCCCGTGCCAAGCAGGTGACGGAAAGAGCGAGGTACGAGCGAGTGGCGTTGAGTAGGGGGCGAAGCCCTAAATGGGGGGTCCAGGGGGGGTGCGAGGCGCAGGCGCCTGGTGACGGAAAGAGCGAGGTACGAGCGAGTGACGTTGAGTAGGGGGCGAAGCCCTTCTTAGGGGGGGTCCAGGGGGGGTGCGAGGCGCGGGCGCAAAGTCTAATAGCCCGTTTCCCTCGTATTTGTTCTAGTGAAGCGGCTCCCGGGCGGCTCCCATGGCCCGTTTTTTTTTTTTTTTTTTTTTTTTTGTATTTTTGTCCGTAGACGGGCCCAAGACGGCCCAGAGGCCCCAAAGGTCGTCCCAAGACGGCCCCGGAGGCGCCCCAAACGGCCCCAAAACGGTCCAAGAGGGCCAAGACAGTCCAAATAGGCCCCAACATTGCCCCCAAAGGACCCCTAAGAAGGCCACGAGACGCCAAATAAAATAGCGATCGGTAACGCAAAAAGCTCTTCACACCAAGGCTCCCACGAGCGAGCGGTGACGTCACAAGCTCTCAACGCCAAGGCTCCCAAGAGCGAACGGTTTCTTAAACAATTCTCGACACCAAGGCTCCCAAGAGCGAGTGGCAACGTAAACATCTCTGGACACCAAGGCTCCCAAGAGCGAGCGGTGACGTCACAAGCTCTCAACGCCAAGACTCCCAAGAGCGAACGGTTTCTTAACAATTCTCGACACCAAGGCCCCCAAGAGCGAGTGGCAACGTAAACATCTCTGGACACCAAGGCTCCCAAGAGCGAGCGGTGACGTAACAAGCTCTCAACGCCAAGGCTCCCAAGAGCGAACGGTTACTTAAACACTTTTCGACACCAAGGCTCCCAAGAGCGAGCGGCAACGTAAACATCTCTGGACACCAAGGCTCCCAAGAGCGAGCGGCGACGTAACAAGCTCTCAACGCCAAGGCTCCCAAGAGCGAACGGTTTCTTGAACAATTCTCGACACCAAGGCTCCCAAGAGCGAGTGGCAACGTAAACATCTCTGGACACCAAGGCTCCCAAGAGCGAGCGGTGACGTAACAAGCTCTCAACGCCAAGGCTCCCAAGAGCGAACGGTTTCTTAAACAATTCTCGACGTCAAGGCTCCCAAGAGGGGGGGCCGGCGGGACGTGCCGACAGCGATGTCATTCCCTCGTTGTCGTCTTTGTGTGCCTCTTGGTAGGCCCCCCGCTCCCACGGCTGGCTCCGTCTCGGACTCCTGATCAGGGCGCGTCCCGGGAGAGGTCGGGAGAGTATCGATGTCGGTATATTTTTGCGACTCCCGCGTGCAGTCCTTGACGGGCGACAAGAGGGTGGGCGCTCGCTTTCGCTCAATGCCGACCTCGTCCGACCGCCTTGTCGAAGGTAGTCCGGGCTGGAGAGCGCACGGGTTCTCTTGTCTCCCGGCTGTCGGACCCATTTCGTACATTAATTTCATTTTCTTTGCTAATCCTCCTTCCCTCTCCCATGTCTCTCTTGCCCTTCTCCCTCATGTTACAGCTCTGTCTTCTCCCCCCGCATATTCTTAGGAATGCTGTTCGACGATCCCTGCGCTAAAGGCTTCGGGTTTGTTCACAGAGGGCGCGACTCGTCCTTGCGGAGCGGCTGCGACCCTCGGTGCGAAACGATGCCTAAGCATATTATGCAATTGCATGGTTGGGAGAAGGAGTTCTTACATGGTGCCACTACTTCCACCCACAAGCCAGGGTGCCGTCCACAACTCTTGACGCGCCGTGCATCCCCACCAGCCCATTCAGCAACGACGTCCGTGAGAGCTGAAGGGAGCTTCAGGGACAAACAATGCGTACTGAAACAGACAGCGCGGGCAACACTGATGAATTGAAAGGCTTATTGGAGCGAGGCCAGGCCTTTAATTGGGCCCATCTCGGGGTCCCGCGCGCGCGGCGAGGAGGAGGATGAGGATGCGAGTGATGAGGAGGAGACGGTGCAGGGAGGAGATTCGAGGCCGATGAAGCGGAGGAGGAGGAGGAATCCGACGACGACGATGCGGAGGAGGACGAGGAGGAAATTGACGAAGAGGATGAGGGGCATGGGCCAGGACGGAGCAGGACGATGAGGACGAGGAGGATGACGAGGACGAGGGAGATGACGAGGACGATAAGGGAGACGAGGATGAGGGCGGGGACTATGACCAGGAATAGGAGGAGGAGAGCAAAAACGAGGAGGAGCGCGAGGATGAAGAGAAAGACGAGGACGATGAGAAGGACGAATACGACGATGACGCGGGGCTCTCTTCGGGCTCTCTTGCGGCTCTCTCTGGGCGCTCTGCACGGCCTCTTCGGGCCATCGTCGTCGCCATCATCGTCATCATCGTCATCGTCATCGTCCGCACCATTGCCCTAGGATCGGGCTCGAGAACCATCCTAGGCTCGGGCTCCGACCAACACCCTGCACTGCCGGCCGCGCCTACCAGCCGCCGCCTTCAGGGATCCATGCTCGCTTTGCAGGGTCGGCCGCGTCTCACGGCCGCCGCCCTGCAGGCTGCCTCGTCGTGTTCCTCGTGGTGTTTTCTTGTCCTCGTCATGCTCTCCGCGGTGTCCTCTTCGTGCTTCCTCGGCCTCCTTGTCATGCTCCTCGTCGTGCTGATCTTCGTTCCTCGGCGAAGGCTCGTGCTGCGAGCGATGCAAGTGGGCGTGGGCAGGCAGCGGCGGCGAGCCCCCAGGGGCAGGAGTCGGCCCAGGCTTGTGCGGGCCATTCCCAGTCGAGGGCAGATCCACGTGCATGAGGGCGAGACCGGCAGCTCTTGCGAGGATGGTAGCGAAACCAAATGGCTGGTGACGCAGGGCCGTGGTATGCTCCGTTCTCCCACTCCCGTCACGCAGTCCGTCTGCCCGTCATCGTGGCCGCTCCATGTTCTATGCTCCTCCTTACACCCCCTCTCGCCTGTCCTCTGTGCCGCTTTCTTCGTCGTCCTCCTCCGTCTCCGCCCTTCTCCCCCTTTTTGGCCTTCCCCCCCCGGGTTGTTCCGTCTCCTCGCTCCCCTCCTTCCTCTGTCTTCTGGTCCCTCTTCTTCCCCCGTCATGGTTCCCGCCCCCCCTGCCCCCGCTCCCCGCGCTCCCTCCTTCCTCCCGAGGATGACGCGGGAGGCGTCGGGATAACCGGGGGCCCCTTCGGCGCGTAGATCTTCGTGAAGACGCCGCGCGGGCAAACAATCGCGCTGGGAGCGGATGGTAGTGGCACGGTCGCCGACGTGAAATGGATGATCCAGGATGTGGAGGGCGTCCCCGTGCCTCACCAGCGCTTGATTTTCGCGGGCAAGCAGCTGGAGGACGGGCTGCCGTTGTCGGCGTACACCACCCAGAAGGAATCCACGGTGCAGCTGGTCTTCCGCTTGCGGGGCGGCGCGCCGAAGCGGCCCGCTGGCGACATGTGCTTCTTTATTTGTAGCGACGCGCCCGTGTCGGGGCCGGGGTCATACCGAGGCCTCGGCCGGATTTGCCAGGGGTGCGGCGAGTGGTTTCGCGAAAGCCGCATTATTGGTCACGGGTTACCGAAAGCCTCCAAGAAGCAGAGACTCAGCGACGACGAGGAGCGACTTGCGTTGAAAACGGCAGGTCGCCAGGGAGTCTACATCCACGCTTCACCTCGTGCCCGGCGTAGCCAAGTGCAAGAGGATTTGGCGCAATTCTACGGCGCACCTCACATGGTTACTGCTGCCACGACCTCGACGTCGAGCCGCATCCGGATGGCTGGTGACCTTTTCGAGATGCGTTTGCGCGGCCGCATCAACATGCGCATGTCGATATCGAGAGAGACGGGCCGTTTCACCCGGTCGTTGAATGCTGAAGTGGATCGGCATATCTATGCTTCGCTCACGCTCGTGCCCGTTCAGCGTGCCGACTTACTCCGAGTGGTGTTCTTGCAGATCTATTTCTTGCGATGCTGCCTGAGCGAAAACATGCGGGACCTCATGGCCCGGCGCCGCACGCCCTTGCTTCGTGGAGATCTGTTTCGTCTGGACGTGGCGGCCATGATGTGGTACATTTGTGAGTACGTCGGGCGCCTTCTGCAGGCCGCACACTGGACTCTTTTTACTGAAGGTTGCAGCCGTGCGCAACTTGGGCCGTGTCTGGGAATGTGTGGCGCGACACTAAGGCAACGTGTCCGCTCTCAAGGGATTCGCGACGGTCGCTCTGCACTTCTCAACATGGCCCGAGGAGGTCTTCCTGGAACCACCATTGTTCGACGCGCGCATGATGGGCCTTTCTGGGTTCCAGAGCTTTCGTTCCAAGGAGGTGTGGCTTGACAGTTTCGCAGCGCTCCTCCGCAATCCTCGCGCCTTTCGGTTGGGCGGCGCTGAGGTGAGCACTATGGAGAAGCAGATGCGGCAGATCGGCGAGATGGGCCCGGGGCCGCGCCGCCTGCTGCGATGGTGCGCCGGCGCCTGCGCCGCGAAGGACCCGCTGACGAAGCGCGACGAGAGCGAGTTCGAGGACGCGCACGATCGCCTCTTCCAGCATTTCGTCAAGCGCTTCGGCATCCACGGCGTTGTCCAGGTATGTCACAGCCTTCGGCCCGTATCCGCCGCCGCGCCCATGTCTTTGCCGACGCGCGTGCTAGGGGCGATCCAGTCTGACTGCAGAGTCTGGCAGTCGTCAGCGGACAGCGGCCCGTTGTGGACCAGTGCCGATCACGCGCGATGTAGTCGGCAGTTATTTCGGGCCCTGGGTCCTCCCGTGGAATTCCACGGCCCTACCCCCCTCGCGTTCCGGAGATCAGCGTTGTCCGCGCCACCGGCGCGGCGGCGGATACTTTGCCTGGTGCGAAGTGTCCAAAGCCGTGAACGATCTGTACACAGGCAAGGGCATTCCCTATACCGACCACTCAGACCAGCAGATTTCAGACGTCCTTCTGGCTGAGTCCACCGCGTACGGCTTCGATGACACGATAAATGACCCGGCCCTCCTCAGGAGGAAGTTTACGGCCATCTTCCCAGCCATAGTTCGCACATTCCCCGCGGCGTGAAGGGTTGTCCGCGCCCGCAGGCTCCCGCTGTCCTTGTGTGACCAGCAGCAACCGTGATGTCCCACACTCCGAACGCTCTTGCCGCGTCTCCCTCCTCTATTTCCCCGGTAATTCAGTGTTTTGTTTCTTCATATCGCAGTGAGTTGCGCGGGTCCTTGCGCTGCCTCCACGCTGCGCGAAACGTCGCACCCAGCGCAACGCATTCCTGTCGTTCGGTCGCGCCCTCGCCGGCGCCACGGGCGCCTGGCTCTCCAATGCCCGGATCGTTGTCCTCCCCCCTACGGTCACGCCCCAAACTCGTTCACAGGCGTGCCTCGGCTCTCGCCGGCCGCTGCGGTGCCCACAAGCGTGCAGGCGGTATTCGCTCGCGTTCGCGGTGCCGGGGGGGTCCGTCCTTCTCCGCCGCCGGAGCCCCAGGCGCTCTGTGGCGCTCGCAGGCGCGATTGTGACGTTCATAAAAATCATACGAAGAAGCAGGGGAGGAAGAAGAGAAGCAGGAGGAGCAGGAGCCAGGAACACAGGAGGTCAGAGCCCCGAACCATCAGGGGTAACTCGGGTCAGGGATAACTCGGGTTCGTTTTTCGGGAATCCAAACCCGAGTTACCCCGGACCCGAGTTACCCCGGATAACTCGGGCGTCCAGAGCCCCGAATCATCAGGGGTAACTCGGGTCAGGGATAACTCGGGTTCCTTTCTCGGGAATCCAAACCCGAGTTACCCCGGACCCGAGTTACCCCGGATAACTCGGGCGCCCAAGGAGGTTGGAGGGAAGGAGGGAGCACGTGCGTGCGTGTGTGCTATTGTGTGTGAGTGTGTTTTCGTGGTGTTGTGTGTGTGTGCGTGTGTGCGCGTGCGTGTGCGTGTGTGGGTTCGTGCCCCTACCGGAATCGTTTCGACTCGGAGCGCCCGTTCTCCAGCCCGCCGATTGAACGGTGCGTGTGTGTGTTCATGTGTGTGTGTGTGCGTTTGTACGTCTTCGCCCCCACCGTGCCAACCCCTTCGAGTCCCCCAGCCTCTCTTGTAGTGTTCTACAAAGGAACCTGCGGCTTCTTTGTGGGATTGTCGAATCGGCGCACAAGGATTACCCGGAGCAGAGTCGACAGCGCAGGTAGCAGGTGATGACCGGCCGCTGCCGGCACGAGTTCGTGCTTTTGTCGCGTTTTCGATCGGGGGGGAAACACGCGTTTTCTAGTTTATTGTCGGGGCTCCGCGGCCTTCTCAAAACGTGCGCCATGCCCATGGGCACTATGGTTTTTGCATGTTTATGGGGTTCTTGCTTTTTCGGGCCAAGAAGGGTCTAAAACGGCCCATCAGGCTCCAAAGATCGTCCAAAGACGGCCCAAGAGGCTCCCGAAAGGACCCGAAAACGGTCCAAGAGGGCCCCAAGACGGCCCCAGAGGGGCCCAAGACGGCCCAAAAGGAGGGCCCAAAGACGGCCCAAGAGGGTCCCAAGACGGCTCCAAGAGAGCCCCAAGAGGGCCCAAAGAGGCTCCTAAGTGGGCCCAAGAGGCCCAAGAGACGCTCAAGAATATCATGGCTCCCATCAGCGAGCGGTGACGTAAGAAGCTCTTGAAACCAAGGCTCCCCAGAGCGCGGTGACGTAAAGAGCTCGTCACACCGAGGCCCCCAAGAGCGAACGGCAACGTAAAAGTCTCTGAACACCAGGGCTCCCAACGGAGAGCGGCGACGTAACAAGCTCTCCACACCAAGGCTCACAAGAGCGAAGGGTACCATGAACAATTTCGGGCAAGTTCCTGAGGCGCTCTTTCCGTTCCCGTGCCGGCCCAGTCTGATAGCCCCACCCCGCCCAACAACGCTGGGATTCACTATCGGGGGCCCATCGCCGCTCTATCGGCGATAAATCGCCGATTCCTGGTCGATGTTTCCCCTCCTATGCCAGTCCCCCCCTGTCCCCAAGGCGGCGCAGTCCCCAGAGCTCTTGGGGATGCCCTGGCGAGAGGCGGCCGTGCAGTGTGTCGACCACACGGTGCAGGGCCTCTCCGCGACGTGTCGGGACAAGGAGTGGTTCTTCGACTTGGATCTCCTCCCGACCCTCGTCGCTGTCCTTTCGGAGATAGTGAAAGATAGCGCCCCCCGAGCCGCACTGGACGAGCTTGAGGCGGTCGTCACCGCCAGGTACGAGGATCTGCTCGACTCGGTGCTGCTGGAGAAGGCGATGTGGGACGCCACGTGTGCGACCTTCCCGGGTGACCACGCGTGTGGCCGCATCTTCAGGTATTTGCATGCTTCCTATCCTGAAGCGCTCCGAGGAGCAAAGGACGAGGCCATGAGCAAGAAGCTGTCACCATTGAAGCGGGTGGAGCTGTTTATGTCCAGGTGGATGGAGGGCAGCATGCACAAGGCGTGGCAAGCGATCCATGGGTCCGAGCAGCTGCTCACCCTGGACTCCCTGCTGCGGCTGTTTGGCAGCCTGCTGGCGCCCTTCGGAGAGGACCACCCCTTCTCCTGCGTGCCCACGGAGCTCACGGAGCGCATCGGCCGCCCGCCGCGCGACTGGCCGCACGTGGCGCGCGTGGCGCGGCAGCTGCTGGCGTCGTGGAGGCAGCCCGTCCCGGAGGGCGCCCCGGCCCCGACAGACCCGCCCCCGCCCAAGCGACACCGCGCTGCAGCGGCCGCCGCGGAGGCGGCGGCGGCGGCCGCCGCCGCGGCCACGGCGCCCCCTGCTGCGGAGGGCGAAGGGGCAGGCGCCAGCCACGACGCCGCCACCGCGGGGAGTGCGGCCGGTGGCGCCGAGGAGCAAAACAAGTCTTGCCCTGATCGGGCACCTCGGCCTCGTCTTCCTCCACACCCGCCTTACTCTCACCCTCATCATCGCCTTCTTCGTCCAGCACGCGGGGGAGATCTCCAGGGAGTGTGCGACCTTTGTTCTGGCTCTTGCTGCAAGGATGGGCCATAAGCTGCGGCTCTGCCCTAATGGGCCCGCCACCACCAAGAGGAGGATCAGGGATGCGGCGGCATCCTGATACCAAGGATGCGGCGGCACGAGCTCTCGCCGCGTGACGCCGACGGACTCGAGAGCCACTGCGGGCGATCATCGCCCCGCTCTCTTCGTCCTCGTCGCTCCCGTGGCCGCCCCGTCCCCCTCCCGCACCGGCCCCGCGCCGAGGGCCCAGTACATGCGCTGGCGCCGGCTGCCGAAGGCGGTGGCCATCCCTCTTCGGGCCCACCTGGCGCCCCGGGGGATGCCCAAACTTCGCCGCCGCGAGCCTCGAGGAGGATGGAGGAGGTGGGGAGGAGCGAGGAGAGGGAGACGAGACTGAGGAGCAACAGTGGGAGGAGGAGATGAGGAGTGAAAAGAGCAGAAGTGAGAGGAGGATGAGGAGAAGGAGGAGGAGCAGTAGGAGGAGGAGGAGGAGGAGGAGGAGGAGGAGGAGGAGGAAGGATATATGTAGACTCAGCCCAAGAAGCCTCAGCGATGCTGCAGTAAGATCGGAAGCCAGGAGGGGGAAGGGAGAAGAGGAAGAGGAGAGGGGGATGGAGGGACAGAGGGAAAGGAGGAGTTGGAGGAGATTTGGATGAACGGGGGATGAAGAGGAGGAGGAAACGGAAGAGGAGGAGGAGGAGGAGGAGGAGGAGGAGGAGGAGGAGGAGGACGAGGAGATGATGATGATGCTGATGATGCTGCTGCTGCTGCTGATGATGATGATGATGATGATGCTGATGCTGATGCTGATGCTGATGCTGATGCTGATGCTGATGCCGATGCTGATGATGATGATGATGATGATGATGATGATGATGATGATGATGATGATGATGATGATGATGATGATGAGGAGGAGGAGGAGGAGGAGGAGGAGGAGGAGGAGGAGGAGGAGTAGGACGAGGAGGACGAGGAGGGTATGGGGCGGCAGCGCGAGCCGGAGCAGCAGCAGGCCTGGCCTCGCACGCAGCGTGTGCCCTGGCCCCCATCTTACGCTAGTTTGCAAGGGGTGCGTAAAGGGGGCGCCCGCATCTTGGGCCAGGCCCCGCGACGAGGACGACGACGATGACGAGAACGACGACGAAGACGACTGCGACTGGCTTTGTCCCACCGCGGGGATGCGCTGCAGCAGCTGCGCCTCGCCGACAACATGCCAGGGGTGCCCGAATCGTCCGTCTCGGCCGGCGGAGACCCGAGCTGTGACCCGGAAGCCAAGTGAGGCCCCAGGGTTCGCTCTGAGCCTATAAGCCGATTCGATATCGAGTTCGATTGTCTCCATCCGATTCGATCCCGGTTTGCCGACGATCCTTTGCAGCCCGAGGCTCGCACGGCGTTGGGGTGCATCTTGGCGCGGCCGATCCTATTCGAGTCCGATTCCGTGCCAATGCAGGCCGATCCGACGCAGATTCCGATCCGAGTTCGCGATCCGATGCGGACTGATCTCGACAGCCAGCCAAGCGCATCCGTGGACGCGACCTCGCGGTCGCTCCTCCGCTGCCATGCCTGGCGAGCTCTGAGCTGCGCGCCAGTGGAGTGCAAGACTGTGCTCGGCTCGAGCCGGGCCTGTCCCTCTACAGGAGGCATATCCAAAAACAGTGCAACAGCAGTCGGGGGACGATTGTTTTAAACATTTTTGTGTTCTGCGATTTCGGGGCCTCGTCTGACTCTTTTCTATTGGAGAGGCCTGACGGCCGGTGCCGCCGACCCTGATCGAAAGGGCTAGGAGTGGGGGGAGGAAGCGGAGGAGGAGGAGGAGGAGGAGGAGGAGGAGGAGGAGGAGGAGGAGGAGGAGGAGGAGGAGGAGGAGGAGGAGGAGGAGGAGGAGCCTCGTCTGACCATTTTTCTATCCTTCGTCCAGGCCCGACTCACTGCCCGGCACCGGCACCGGGCGCTCCGGGAGGGGCCTCGACGATGCCGCGCAGCGCGCCCTCGGCGGAGGCCGGCGGGCGGCCGGCGACGGAGCAGAGCGGAGGCGGGTCCGCCGGCGGTGGCGCGGCGAAAGGCGAGAGGCGGTGGCTCGGCGAAGGAGGGGGACATTGGGGACCCAGACCCCCTCGAGGCCTGAAAGAAATCACGACGGGAGGTTTATATCCGTATATTTTTGGCCTCTGGTGGCCCTTGCTGGCCCTCGGGGCCGTCAGAAAACGACGCGGGACGAAAAACCGGCCCCGGGGAATGGGTCCAGACCTCTGGGGGTCGACGTCATGAAAGAACCATGACGTCGGGGGTCTGGGAAAGGGAGGGGTACGAAATCTGCTGCATGCAGCTGGCTTCTGCCCCACCGAGGGGCCAATTCCTCGATACATGGCCGTCTCCAGCGCCGGGAGACGCCGTGAAACGCAGATACGTGAGCTGATTCTCACCCCCCCCCCCTTTCGCCCGGCCCGAGAAAGGCGGCAGAAGTAAAAGTGGGACGTCAACATGTGTGGATTCGTTCGCAAATCATGGGAGCCTGGTATATCCTCTTAACTTCCGTCTTTATCGGAGGGAGGAGAAGCGATACCAACACCACCAGGGGGCCCACCTCCAGGGAGGGGATCCACGATTCCACCCCGAGGTGGAGGCTGGGGACGTCTCGAGCGAGAGGGGGGGACCACACCACCAGAAGAACCCCCTTGCCTCCTCGCATCTCCTCGCCCTTTTGGTGTTGGTGTCGCCTGTTCTTGTTCCTACATGTTTGGATTCATTCGCAAATCATGGGGGCCTGATATACCCTCTTAACTTCCATCTTTGGCGTCGATCAGCGTCTGGGAGTCGATAAGATAGCGCGGATTTAGCGTCGGCTAGCGTCGATTAGCGCCGATTTAGCGACGACTATCGTCGATCAGGGTCGATTCGCAAGAGCCGACAAGATGGTATGGGAGGCTCCCACGAGTTGCCACCGAAATTGGAGCCAGGTTTTCTGGAGTCGGCGGCCGCATCCTGCCTTACCCTCCACACACGCCCCAACTAAAAAGCGATCGGGGGGAACGTTCGGGGGGGCATACGCGCCAGCGGGGATGCATCGACCTCCAATGGCCCAGTGATCGCCGATGGGGGCTCGCTTCCCCCGCCGCGCCCAATGAGCGTGCAGTTCGGCTACAGTCGGGCCGAGAAAAAATATCGAGGTCGATTGGGGGCGGCTGCCCTGACGTTCTTCGTGTCTGTTGGACGCCCCTGTGCATCCTGGGGAGGGCAGCCTCGGACGCCCTGTGTGCTCTGGCCGGCGGAGGCTCTCGTGTTCTGGAGCAATGCTCTTCCGTCGTGGATCCGACCGTATCGGGGGCCGATCGCCTGCGTGGATGGGCCTGTTTTCCACCACCACCACAAGCATGAGTTGGAGGGGGAGGGGGTCCTCCTCCCCCTCCTCCTCCTCCTCCTCCTCCTCCTCCTCCTCCTCCTCCTCCTCCTCCTCCTCCTCCTCCTCCTCCTTCCCCCCTCCAACTCCTGGTGGCGGTGGCGGAGAACAGGCCCATCACACGTGCGCATCCTGGGGCGCTCCACTGGGGGGGGGGGACGCGCCGCCGAGGCTCCGAGAGGCGTTGGGGCACCACCCCCGTCGGCGGAGGGCGGCGGCCTGGGCGGGCGGCAGCCCGCGGAAGCGAGTCGCGGCCGGCCTGCCGCCGGCGGCGGCGCCGGGCGGGGGGGGCGGGCGGCAGCGGTGGCTCGGAGGGCGGGGTCCTGCGGGGTGGGGCCCTGATAGGACGAGGTGTCGCAAGCAGCGCGGCTGCCTCCCGATCCTTTGGCCCCCATCCCTCAGGGCCTCAGGGCCCCCGTCTTCCTCATCCCGAGGTCCCCATCTGCCTGTATCCTTCGGTCCCCGAGTCCACCACTCGGTTCCCTTCCCGTCCTTGGGCCCCCAATCTCTCAGGGCCCTATCTTCCTATCCCCAGGTCCCCGTCTGCCTACCCTTAGGCCCCCAAATCCACACTCAATTCCCTTCCTGTCCTCAGGCCCCCATCCCTCAGGACCCCATCTGTGAGCCACAGACGGCAGCTGGCGAAGTAAAGCCCGGCCTCCCTAGGGGTGGCAACCTTTTGGGACTCGGGGTTTCTAAGATCCGCCCTGCATACATCAGCAGGGAACCAAACCACACAGACACAATCAATCGTCGACTCCCAGCAAAGTATGATGGGAAAACATGGGAAATGAGGGGGAAGACCCAAACCCAGAAATTATGGGAAAATAGAGGGGAATCCGGGGATGTGTGTGTGTGTATTTGTGTGTGTGTGTCCCTGGGCCCCATCCAATACCACTGGTTGCACGGCTCAGGCATGCAGCGCCGATTCCTGCTCAATGGTCCCCCCCCCCGCCCCCCCCCCCACTTCCCGTGCGCCAGTCCTCCCCTCTCGTGCCCCGAGGGGGGGGGGGGGGGGCGCCGCGCCCCAGGTGTGGCTCTGGGAGACGGGGGCGGGCTACGACGACTACGAACAGGAGGCCCGGCCGGTCGGAGTCCGGCGCCTGTCCGCGCGCCCCTGTGCTGTTCGTGTGCTCTCTCGGGTGTCGGGCAGCAGTGTCATGGCGCCAACACCGCCGAGCGGATCTCGCTCGGGAGAATTTCGTCCCGGGTTTCGAGGTGAATTTCGTGCGGGTTTGCTCTGGCCAGGAAGGAAGACTAAAAGGAGTCCGCGCGAAGTTCACTTCGTTTTTCGCTCGCCGCTTCGGGGCTTTGCACTGACAGAAATCCGCGCAGAAATCCGCTGCAGCACGTCTGCAAGGCCGGCGCAATGAGCAGTGGGCGGACGGTGGGCGATATGGACGAAGTTGTTCTTTGGTCAGGGGCGCCTGTCCAGGGGCGGCTGAACAGTTCGCGCCCCGACGCTGGCACCTCGGAAGTTGACTTGACGCTTCGCGCATCGCCGCTGGTCTCCACCCACCCATCCAGGAGCGATCGCCAGGCGAGTTGCCCTGATCGGGGGAGTGTCGTAGCATGTGTCCAGGAGTCGAGCATAAGTCATGCCCGTCACCGATATTTCGCCTCTTGGAGGTGTCTTTGAGGCATCTTGAGACCATCTTGAAGTCTTGGGTCTCTCTTGGGGACCGTGGGGGCTTCGGGGGTCACCGTGGAGAACATCGATCAAACAAGATGGCGTCGCAGATGTGTCGTCCAGTCGAAGCTTGAAAAGTCCCCTCTGAGAGATCTCTTTGGTCGCTCTGGGGCTTTCTTGGGGCCGTCTGGGAGCCCTCGTGTCCCCCTCTTGTGGTTCTGTTCGGCCATCTTGCCGCCATCTTGAGACCGCAGAGGTCCACTGGATGCGAAAAGGCGCGAAGCCAAACATCAACAGTGAACGACACTTCCTTTGGAGGCTCTGTGGCCTCTTGGAGTCGTTTGGGGATCGTCTCGGGACATTTTGGGGGCACGATGGAGGCCATCCTGCGCCAATCTGAGACAGATCGAGCTTGGCACACGAGCCTTCCAAGGATGCCGCTGCACATCGACAATCACACAAATCATCGAGAAGAGGGAGTTGGTGGAGGGGTGGGCAGAGAATGGAGCTGAACATCGAATATCTCACAACAAAATCGAGAAGAGGAAGATGATCAGAACGAGGAAATTGGTGGAGGAGTTGGCAGAGAATGGAGAACGTGAACACGGGAAGGGAGAGAAGAGGAGGAGGAAGAGGAGAATGAGGAGGAGAAGGAGGAGGGGGAGGAGGAGGAGGAGGAGGAGGAGGAGGAGGAGTGGGGGGAGGAAGGAGTTGAGGAGGAGTCTTAATGGTTTGGGCTTTGAGCGAAGGTGTCGCGCCGAGTAGCACGGTTCCTCGACGAGCCCGAACAGTCGCCTCGCGGTGCCCTCTGAGCATGCTCTTTAGGGGCGCCCTTCAGCGTTTGGCGGGCCGTCTTGGATCCTTTATGGGCCCGTCTTGGGGCAGTCTTGGGCCACCGTGGAGCCAACTTCCGAAAGCCCCTCGGGTCATGAAACAATTATGCCAGGGAGTCTTTCGCTATTTTCAGCTCTCGGGGGCACTCACAGGCCCTCGGGACCGTCAACAAAGCGACTCGGGATGCACAACCGGTCCTGGGGATCGGGTCCAGACCGCTAGGGGTCGACGTCGTGAAAAAACATCATGACGTCGGGGGCCTGGCTTAGGGCCTCAAAAGGCCATCTGGGGCAGAAAGGCGCGAAGGCAAACAGCGTCTGTTTTCCCAGGCGTTGACATGATGTTGTGTGGGCATCATCGGGAGGCTCCTTCGCCACTTGAACCGTCCGGAGGAGATCTTGGGGCATGTTGGAGACATGTTGGAGGTTGTCGTGAGCCCTTTCGCAGTGTCTTATCCCTTCTTGGGAAATAGCTCGTTTTGTGGTTGCTTGACGGGGGTGGGAAGGCTTTTTAAACCGAACCCACACCCCTCACCCCCCACGACAACAAAAACATTCCGTACGCCCGGAAACTGAGGGATCCCGCCCAAAAAACAAGGGGTCCCAACCTGGGCCCCGCCCCCCCATCCCCCCACGTTGGCAAACGACGAGGACGATCAGGACGACGCCGACGACGACGACGAAGACGACGACGATGACGACGACGAGCACGACGACGACGACGACGGCGACCACGACGACGACGACCACGACGAGAACGACGACGACGTTGACAACGACGGCGTCCCGCTCGCCCGCCCATCCGATGGAATCGCCAACGACACCGACGTGGCCCGCCCGCCGCCCGATCGACGCCCGACCAACTCGCCTATGACGACGACACGTCCCGCCTGCTCGCCCTCCCGACCTCGTCTTCGTCGTCGTCGTCGTCGTCGTCGTCGTCGTCGACATCGTCCGTGGTTGTTTACAGTAGTCGTCGTCGTCGACGTCGTTTGCCAGCGCGGGGGGGGGGGACCCCTTCTGCGCGAAGCAGGGGTTGGGGGAGGAGGGGCTTGGCGATTTTGTTACACATGTCACGACGGATGCCGAGACGTGGTGCCCGGGATGAGTGTGTTCTTGGAAACTGCCGAATTGCATAGGCCCACTATGCGCTGGTGCGGAGGATCTCTGAGCTCGCCATTCTGGCGGTGGCAGCACAGCACTGCAGAGATGCGTTCGTCGATGGCTAAGTTACCGCCCTGTCTGGATTTTCTATCGCCAGCCGATCTAGATTGTATGTTTATGCGCCCCCAGAGGGCCATTCGCGAGAAGCTAGTTCGAGCCGCACGTGAGGGCCAGCGGCCCGAGTTGTAGCGGATCGTTGTTCATCCCCTGTTTTTGCCGCTGGTCCCATGTTGTATTCCTTCGCCAATGCCAGGCGCCTCAAGATGCGCGTTCCCTCCTCCGATGTGCCCGCTGACCTAGATCTACACTGTGCGGTCTCTGCGGCGTGAGCTCGCGAATGTTGCCCCTGATCGCCAGTGGCTCGTGGTCAAGACGCTCTGCGCGGGCTGGGCCACTTCCCACAAAATGCACGTCTTGCCACTTCGGATGCTCGGCACGGGACTCGATGCATCAGTATGGGCAGTGCCCTCACTTGACGCGCTGCGCTGCCCTTCCCCGCGCTTCCCCCATGCGCCCACTTGCTCGTGTTGTGGGGACTGGGATCTGAGCAGGAAAAGCGCCTCACCAGGCAATAATCGCCCGATGGTCGTCCTCAGACTGATCTTCGCCTTGGTTGTCGCTTTCCGTACTCCGTCCAAACTGACATCCGAGTTGGACGATCTGCCCGGACGTCTGATGGAGCATTCCCGTGGATATTTTATTTTCGTTCTGAGGTGCTGTCTATCAGCACGCCATGGCGCTGAGCTTCGAGGCACTGGCTCGTCGATCTGTCCTCAGCCAGGCGATCATCAGACCGCAATGTAACAAAGCAGTTCGGTGTTGCGCGCCCAGTTCGGAACCGAATTGTTGTCGCTTCGCGAATCCCCACCAGCCCATCCAGAAACGATGCCCAGAGGAATTGCCTCGATCAGAGAAGTGGGCAGCACACAGAGGAAGCCATTATGAGACATCTTGGGATATCTTGAGCCATCTTGGAGGTCATTTTGGGCTCTCCCAGACGCTCTTGGAGTCATCTTAATCCGTGCCCCCCCCCAAGAGGCCTCCATGTGGCTAAAACCTGTGTAGAATCAATGATTAGGCATTCTCGCCGAGGCCTCTTGGAGCATCTTGGGTGCATCTGGGGGGGCTCTTGGGGCCTCTTGGGGGTCTCTTGGGGGCCTCCGGGGGGCCTCTTGGGGGCCTCTTGGGGCCATTTTGGGGCCATCTTGGGACCTCTTGGGGCTTCCTGGGCGCTTCTTGGGGCCATCTTGGAGGAGATCGATCAAACAAGAGGGGGGGTTTAATTAGCGTCCCCCCTCGGAAGCCCCTAAAATCGCCTCTTGGACCCCTCTTGGAACGCTCTTGGAGTGCTCTTGGGCGCTCTTGGGGCCGTCTTGGGGCTCTTTTGGGGCTCTCTTGGGGCCCTCTTGGGCCATCTTGGAACCATCTCCAGGCCTCGGATGGCCATCGGAAGCGAAAAGGCGAGAAAGCAAAAATCATTGATTTTCCTTAGGTTTTGGGACGATTTTGGCCTCTTCGGGGCCTCCTTGGGGAGCTGTTTGGCCACTTGGAGTTATCTTGGGGCCGTCTTTGGGCTTCTTGGAACCATCTTAGGAGCCATCTCGAGCGATCTTGCGCTATCTTGAGCCATCTTGGAGCTCATCTTGGGTTCTCTGAGGCGCTCTTGGAGCCGTCTTGGGCCATCTGGGACGCTCTAACTACCCGCGGCCCCCCCCGTCCAGGTCCAGGGGAGGGGGTAGGGGGAGGGGTAAACCCCTCCCCAAGGGGGAAGAGGGAGGGGTGGAAGAGGATCTGCTCTAGACCACCTACGCCCAGAGGGCTGGTGGGATTTCGTCACATGTTCGGTGCATCGAACTTCTGCGCAGCAGGGTATACCTTGCCATGGGGGTGGATGTTGTCGGCGGCGTTGACACTGAATGCACCGCTCGGCTTTCCGCTGGGGTCCCTATGCTTTCGCGGGCATTATCACTGAATGCACCGCTCGGCTTCCCGCTGGGAGCGCCCTAAATGGCATTCCTGTCAGTGCAGCCTCCAGGCCTTCTCCGCTCCTTCGGCCCCTCAGGACGGCCACCGTTTGGACTGCCGCGCCGACTGCTGTCCCGGCTGCACGGCCGAGAGCGGGGAGGCACTTGTAAGCTCATGCACCGCACTGGCGGTGCGCTACCGCAGAGCGCACCGCTCGCCGCTCGGCGCCGCTGAGCTCCCCAGGTACGCCCGTCCTGAAACGCAACACGCACCGTGCACAAAACGGCCGTGGTCACGCGCTGCGAGTTGGCTCAACGTGTGTGGGAGCCTACACCCTAGGCGATGCTTAAGAAAACCTGAGTTTTCGTCCAGAGTCTCGATTATTCTTAACTGTTCAATGTAAATCCCAAGATTTTGATAGGAGTTCTGGGTTTGTAATCAGATTATGAGACTATGAATTTCTGAACCCATGATTTCTTAAGCATTTCGCAGGGTGTACGTGTGGCGCTCCGTGTCAGCACGCAAGGGGCTGCGTCCTGCGCATCGGGGCAGCGGAGCCCACGGAGGTTTGTCCCCTCTCGTGCAGCCCTCGGGGGCCTCTCGCTCGCCCACGCCCCTCGGGCCCATCGTCGGAGATGGTCAGACCACGGGAGCTTCCGCTCGCCTCGAAGCGAATGTGCATCGGCAAGCAGCGTCCAGTGCCGTTCTTGGACGCGCTGGTGGGCGCCACGAGGACGACCAGAAGCCTCCGTGTATTGCTCTCTGACCCGCGGGCTCCTCGCGCGCCCCCCCTGCCCCCCGCCCCCCCCCCTCCTCCCCCAAGAGAGCGGGCGCGCGCTGGCAGGTCAAGGGCTGCCTGTCCCCGGTGCTGAGGCGACGGCTGGGAAGGGTCGGGTGCTGCTGGGAGGGCCCCTGGCCCAAGGTGCCCCCGAGATTTCCAAGGGGGCCCCCATGGCTTCCGGAGCACCCCGCACGATGCCCAGAGGGCCCCAGCGGCTCCAAAATTGAGCGGAAAGCTTGGGACACCTTGGGCCATGGGCACTTGTGGCAGCCCCCGGAAGAGGTGTGTTCGATGTCTGTCCGCAGCAGCCAGGGGCCACGTCAGGGGGGATGGGCTTGGGCAGGATGCCTCGACCCCCAGTCGCCCAATGATCGCCGAGATAGGGACCCGACGGCCCGCCCCGCCCAGGAGCGTGCGGTTTTTCGCTGTCGGCGGCCCATCGGCGAGCTATCGGCGATGTAACGCTCTACGTTTCCCCGTGAGCTATTACCCCCCCCCCCCGATCGGTGCTTTCGACAAAAAACAAACACGACACCACCCCACCCACGGCCCTCCATGTTGCGCTACGGCTGACGAGGGGCCGCAGCGCATACCACGCAACATCCCACGCCAGATGTCTTGGTGTACGCTGAGCCCCGTCGGAGCCGTGGGCGGGGTGGGGTCGTTTGGTTTCTGGCCCATGCTTGTCACAAGCCCTAGGAACATAACCCGTCGGAGGTCCGCGACGACTTCTTGGATCGGCCCCGTTCTTCGCGCGCGCGCGCGCGCCAGAGAGGGAGGTCCAGCGCCGGGCAGAGAGATCCACGCGGGCCTCTGGAAGGCTATGGTTTTGCAGCTCCGTGTCTCTTTTACTCGAAGCCCTATTTTTTGATATGTTTCGCCCCTCCTGTCTTGTTCCTGGGGAGTGAACAGGACCCAGGCATCTTTGCCTTTCTCGCCCTCCTCGGGCTTCCGGGCAGGGTTCTCGTGGCCACTGTTGGATCCGCGTCAAAGCTTTGGTCGGGCTGCGTTCCAGGACAGGTCCAGGAAATGATTGCCCCTGGGCCCAGACACCGAGGACGTCCAGTGCGCGTGAGCCTGAGCCTGCTTGTCACAGGTCGATGTGTGAGGTCGTCCTGGCCCGCCCGGCCACCTCTCGATGTTCGCTTCGAGAGGCTGCCGCATCGTGGACTCGCGCAGGGACTGTCGCCCTCCGTTCCCCCACCCCTCCGCGTTGTGGTTTTGTGTCCTGGGAGAGGTCATTGCGAAGGCCTTACGGTCGGTGCCGCCGACCTTGAAGGGGGACAACGACGACGACGGCGCGTTGACTCGCGCAGGGGCTGTCGCCCTCCGTTCCCCCACCCCTCCGCGCTGTGGCTGTTTTTGTCATGGGAGAGTTTATTCCCTGCGCGGGCCCGCCCCCCCCGGGGGGCCCCCGGGCAGGTCGAGGGTGTCCAGAGGAACACTCGGCCCCGGGCAGCGTCCAGGCTCGGCCTCTCGAGCTCCGGGCCGTGCGCACCCTCGCACGGCGCGGGTCTGCCCGCCGGTGTCGGCCGCCACCTGCCGCCTCGCCCCTCGTGGGCTCGCGCGCCGCTCCCGTGGTCGCGGCGGCTCGGGTCCAAGACGCGGGTCGGGGCAGCCGAGGGGCGCTGCGGGGCCAAACCGGGCAGAGCAGGAGCACGGAAGGCGCGGAGGGGGCTCGCGCGCCACACCCGAGGCGCTAGTTCTTCGCAGCCAGCGCGCCATCCCCGTCAGCGGCGCGAGGTGAGAAAATGCGCCCCCCCCCCCCCTGATCCGCGGCTCGCGCAAGCAGAGTCACTTCCGTGCTTGCTGACGGACGCACCCACACGGCCCGCCGCGGCGGGGGCGGCGATCGTAGGTGGCAGAGGAGGACGAGGGGGCTCAGAAGGCATACGTAGGAGGACGGGGGGGGAGACCGGGAGAGGGGAGGCAGGAGAAAGTGGGAGGAGGGAGAGTGTTGGAGGCAGAGGCAGGGGTGCAGGGAGGGGGGCGGAAGGCGAGGAGGCCGCTGAGGATGAGGACAAGAAGGATGAGACGGGGGATGGAGGCGATGTGGAGGCGAAGGAGCAGGGAGGAGGGGACTGTGGTGGAGGAGGATGAGCCGAGAGTGAGGGAAGGCGAGAGCTCGCCTACCACATCTACGGGCGCATGCTTCGCAACGCCCCCTTCCTGCAGTGGATACGCATGTACGAGCCGTGCCTGAAGGAGATGACGGTGCTGCTGTCCTCAGGCCCGGGCGCCTGCGCAAGCGCCTCGGCGGAGGCATTCCTCAATTGACGAATGCCTCGCATGAAATGAAACATCTTGTCCAGAGAGCTGGTGAGAGAAGAGAGGGAGAGAGAGAGAGAGAGAGAGAGGGATAAATATATATATATATATATATATGAGAGAGGGAGAGGGAAAGAGAGAGAGAGAGGGAAGAGAGGGGGAGAGAGACAGAGAGAGAGAAACGAACAAAAAGAGAGATGGGGGGAACAGCGGCGCAGTGGCGGGACCAATCGTGGTGCCCTTCGCGGGGCCGCAGAACGACAACCCAGGAGCCCAGGCTCTCATATGGCGCCCAGAGGGCGCAGGGCCGCGAGGGCAACAGCCGCAAGGACGCGCCCGAGCCCGCGTGAGAGATCGAGACGTGCGGAGGATCTGTGACGGCGCATGCCGCGCTTCCCGCGGCGAGGGCCTCGCAGGCCCGCCGTGCCCGGAATCCTGGCTTCGTTCTCGCCCTGCTGCTGCGGCCGCCCCTTTATTTCGTGCGGGGCAGCAGCAGCAGCAGCAGCGGCAGCAACAGCAGCAGTAGTTTCAGCAGTAGTTCAGGCATGTAGAGTGGGGGGGGGCATCTCGGCCCACGGGGGAGAAGGGCACAGTCGCCCCAGTCCGTTGTCGCGGGGACGTCGTCTGGCATGGGGCGCCTGCCGCATCCGGAGGCCACTGCCCGAATCCGGTGACGGCACCGCGCCTTTCCACAACTGCGCCGCCGTTCCCAGGACTGTTGGGCCTCCGCTGTTGTAACTCAGCGCCGCCTGGGCCGCTTCTCTCTGTGCTCACAGCTGGCGCTCCCGGCCCCTGCTGCGCCGAGCCTGCAGTCGCCAGCATCCCGGGGGCCTGGTCCGGCAGCACTTTGCTGCAGCCCACGCGTTTCGGCGCGGGAGCTCGCGGGCTTCTCGCACCGTCAACTGGACTGCGGTCCCGCATCCAGCTGGCGGCGACCCTCTGCAGCAGAGCCGGACGCTCCGGGCCATGTGGCGAACAATCGGGTGCACCCGCTCCCGCTGCCCCGTGGGCCCTCTTCTTGATGTTCTTCCAGCTGGCCCACCTTGCCCTTCACGCTTCCGGCGCCTGCAGCCCTGGCTTCAGTCTTTGGGTGTGGCCGTGATGCCGTCCCGCGTCCACTGCCAGGTCATTGCAGCCCTCTGGGAAGACATGCATCTCGAGAAAACGCGACGTTTCGCATTTCACGGCGTCCAATACGTACGGCCCCAGAGGCCTCCCACATCATCCCAAGACGGTCCAAGAGGGCCCCGACACGCCCCAAGAGGTTCCCAAGACGGCCCAAGACGCGCCCAAGACGGTCCAAGAGGGCCTTCAGAGAGCTTTCGCAGGGGTCCAGGAGAGGGGAGCTCTGAACAGCGCCTCACGCCAGGGCATCAGGCATGGGCCCGACCTCCCCGCGAGGCCCGCCGAGCAAGATCCGGGAGCTTCGAGGATGTAGGTAGATGGTGACCACTTCGCTTGGAGGATACTTGTCCGATCCCCATGAGAGCCTCTGGGGGATTTCAAGTCGCAGCTCACCAGGACAAGACAGCCGCGCAACAGCGCACAGTACCGCGCAACACCACGCAACACCGCTCAAGACCGCGCCCTTCACTGAGCGGCGTTGAGTGCCAGGACAGCCGGCCCCTGCTCAGGCAATGGCTGCTCCCTGGGGGGGGCCCTATGCTCTCCTCAGGTCAGCCGCACGGGCGCGACTTGGTGCGCGCTTCGCGGTCTGGGCCCCAGGACTGTGGGCGCCCGGGCGGGTCCCCTCCCCCCCGACGTTCCCCTTCTCCGGGGGCCCCTGGGCAGTGGGGCCCGGACGCCCCCGATCCTCAGCACTCGGGCCAGGAAAAGGTGCCGATACCGCTGCCTTGTTTGCTAGTGTATCCCCTTTTGGGGGGCCTCCTGGGAGGCCCTCGTCGCCACGCCGGCATTCGCCTCGAACTTTTGGTCAGACAGCACTCCGGGAGAAATCGGGGGAGTACAGTCAACCCGCGTAGTAAGGATGGGCCACCTCCCCAAGGGTTCCCTTGCATCCTTGCCTCCTCGGTCCATCCTTCGCCACTTTTGCTGGCCGCGCCCCGCTCGAAAAGCATCGAAATGGCCTTCCAAGGCCCTTGCATCCTTATCGCGCATCCTTGCTATACGGGTTGACTGCAGCGGTATCTGTACCTGCTGGTGGCCCCAAGCATAGGCTTGCCGGCGCCCTCGCGGTGGCGGCCCCTCGTGGACGCGTGGGCGCACCGCAGAGGTCCGCGAGAGAGTTTCGGGAAGTCGCGCTACTGGTACTTGTTGGGTTCTTCCGTTCTCGTGGTCCAGGCTTCCAAACTCCCCAAGAGGCGACCTCACGAGTCGGCACGAACGAAATGGGTGCGGAAAGAATGGGTACAATGCCCAACAGCGGTTCCTTTTCATTTCGAGCAGGATTCGCTGTCGGTGTCGCCGCGGCCTGCGTCCATTCGAGACAGAAGGCCGCCTGCCCAACAGCGGCCGCTGTTGGTTTGGGACAACATTTATTGTTGGGCATTGTACCTATTTTTCCGTACCCATTTCGGGCGTCCAAAACGAGGATTGCGCTCCTCCCAGCGGGTTGGAGCGCTCTGCCCGCTCTAGCCCTCGCAGAGTGGCGACCCTCACAGGGATGGCGCCCCTCCTGGTGGGCCAGAGGCCTCTGCCAGCCCTGTGGGCCAGCCGTGGGCCGGGTGTCTTGGCTTTTGAAGTGGCGACTCTGACGAGGGCCAGCTGTGGGCCCAGGCGCCCCAGTTTTCGAGTAATGCACATGTTTGAGGTCGACGTTGTGGCATTTGGTTTCCCTTATTCTCGTGGTCCAGGTTTCCTCTCCCCCGGAGACAAGCTCTTCCGGGTCGGCGAGCCCAACGACCAGATCTTCATGATGCAGAGCGGGCAGGTGGGGAGGGGGGATGTCAGGGGCAAACGTTCTGGAGGGATGTCGGCTCGGAGGGGACGCATCGATTCCCAATCGCCCATGACTGGCCGATATGGGCCCGATAGTACACCCCGCCGAAGAGCGTGCGGGCTCATTATCGCGGGCCTACCTCCGATCTATCGGCGATGTACCACGGATTCCAGGTTGACGACAACCCCCCGGAGCCGGCCCCCTCTGTTTGTGCACCTCAGGCTGGCGCAGTGGGCGACCGAGCGATGGAGCTTCGAGGATGACGGAGAGTGGTGGTTCTCTTGAGGCTCCCTCGTGGCCGCGGCTGGTCGCAGCTCGAGAGTTCGACCAGAAGGTTTGCCAATGACTCCTCCTCCTCCTCTTCCTGCTCCTCCTCCTCCGCCTCCCCCTCCTCCCCCTCCTCCTCCTCCTCCTCCTGCTTCTCTTCCTCCTCCTCCTCCTCCTCCTCCTCCTACGCCCCCTCCTCAATTCTCCTCCTCTCCCTCCTCCTCCTCCGCCTCCTCCTCGTCCTCCTCCTCCTCCTCCTTCTCCTCCTCCTCCTCCTCCTCGTCCTCCTCCTCCTCCTCCTCCTCCTCCTCCTCCTCCACGTCGGGGAGTTCACCCTTGAGCAACGAGTGGGGCAGGAGGAGGAGGAGCTTGAGTCGCCGTGGCAGGGACACACTCAGCCATGTCCACGGCCTCGCGGGCCGGACCATTGGGCCTCGCAGGTGCCGGCGCGCGGAACGTGTCCGTGCGACCGCGCATCCACGGAACCGCGCTCCAGGATCCAGGGGATCGCGTGCTCTGGAGGCCGCGTACCCGCGGGACCGCGAGGGCGCGGACGTGTACGTTTGGGCCATGTGTGAAGCCACGTTCGCCAGGCCGACCGAGTCGGCGGGCCCCGCCTGGTCCCACCCTCCCTGACATGGCATGGGGGTCGGCGGCGGCAGAACCTGAAGCTGGAACCAGGGGGAGAAGACGAAGAACCGGATGAGGAGGGCGAGGAGCGGGCAGTGGGCGCGGAAGGCGGTGGAAGCAGCGGCCGAGGAGGAGCGGGAGCTCCAGCAGCAGCAGGGCCAGGAGTATCAGGCCGCAGCGGGCGGAGGAGGAGCGGAAGCGGAGACAGGAGCGGATGGTCTGGGGCGCGTGCAACGGTCGAGGAAAAGCAACAATTTGGATGATTGCGCGTGGATCGGGACGCAGTGAGATATTTGCGGAATCCGTCAAGAGTGCAGCACGCAAGCATACAGCGCCCAGATGGCACTGTATCATAAACTTCTGAAAGACCGGATGTCTTGGCAATTTATTTTGAATCAACACAATGTGAATACAAGTTTTCCGATCACCGCCCAGAAAGCCAAGCGCAACTTGGCGACAAATTTCCAATCGACATGGGGGCATTCACCTTGAACGAGCTCCAGAACGTGATCCGCAAGCTGAAGAAGGGCAAGGCAGCTGGACCTGACGACATTCCCCCTAATTGTTGGAAGGTTTTGGCTTCTGACGAAGCGGCCAGCGACATACTCTTCAACATTTGTCAACAATGCTGGGTGCAAAAATCAATCCCTGAATCTTGGAAGAGAGCAGACGTTGTACAGCTTCTCACAATAGGGTAACGCCGCTTTGCCTGATAACTACAGACCGATATCGCTATTGCCCGTGGGGCACAAGTTACTTGCATCAATACTACACAGCCGTTTGGTTCAAGGAGGTGCAGAAAAACGAACAAGGGACTTGCAATGTTGGTTCCGGCCGCGCCGTGGCACAGGCGACGTTCTCATGCTAACGCGCCGGATGATCGATGCGGCCCACTTGCACGTCAAAGGTGGTCTGATTTTACTTCCGTTGGATTGGGCGAAAGCCTTCGATATATTAACACCAGACTGTATGTGTGATGCCATCGAACGCTTCGGCCTGCCTGGTGGTATAGCGGAAATGGTACGCTCGATCTACTCCGCAAGATTTTCACAATCGAAAATCATGCAGGCCGCTCATCTGAACGACGACAACGCGCCGGGATCGCCCAGGGCTGCACGCTCTCGCCGCACTTGTTCATCATCGTACAAGCTGTAATGTTGCATGATGTGTATGGCACTCTTGAACTACTCCGAGAGCCGGATTTTGTGATTACACGTGATATTCGGTACGCTAATGATGCATTGTTGGTGTCTCATCATTGTTCCAACCTGCAGCAAATGCTGGCAGCAATAGTGGAGGAAGGTCGGAAGTATGGCGGAACTGAATTGGGAAAAGACATTACATATACAAAATTCCACAGGCCGGGCAATAACACCATGAAGTGGTGAGCACATGAAGGCAGTGAGGGACGCTATGTATCTGGATGGTCTTATTTCGTGCGATGGGAGAGTGGCAACTGAACTAAACAGGCGGCTTGAGGAAACGAACCGTATCTTCAAGCATTTGTATCGGATATGGAGCCGAATTTCAATCCGAAAGAAACGGGAATATATATATATATATAAAAATCTATGAAAGTTGTGTACTGAACAAGCTCCTGTACTCTTGAGATCCCGCTTGGCTTCTGAAGGCAGACCGTGCGCGTTTAGACGCCTTCCGCTGCAAATCCTTACGTCGTTTGCTGGGAATTCGTCCGTCCTTCTTTTCACGGGTTAGCAAGTCGAATATTTAGCTGGCCAGGCAAGTTGCTTTGCACGAGAAAGTTATGAATTCAGGATGCCCAGCGCTTGTCAAAGCCGTTGTCTGTAATGACGATGGAACCCCAAGAGATGGGCTGGGCGCCGAAAGGGGGGCCGCCCCCGCAAGCAGTGGGCGAGTCAGGTCGGAGGTGAAGGGGTGAGATCGAAGTGGAACGGAGGGCCCCCCTACAGGGAAATCGGTTTCGGTTTCGTGTTCGTGCGTGCCGTGCGTGCGGGCGAGGCGAAGCTGCGTGGGCGGGCGAGAAGAAAGTCTCCTCCGGTTGAGGCGCGGCTGGACCAAATGGTTCCTCTCTGGGGGCCGGTGGCCCGCGGTGTCCCGCCAGTGTCCCGAGTCCCGCCTCTGGCTGAGGCGCGGCCGGACCAAATGATTCCTTTCCGGGGGTCCCGCTGGTGTCCCGCCGGTGCCCCGTCGGTGTCCCGATGATGAAAATGATGTCGATGATATTGATGACGATGGTGATGATGATGATGCTGATGACGAGGATGAGGATAAGGTGGTGATGCTGGTTTTGATGGTGGTTGTCAAATGATGGTGTTGATGATGATGCCGGTGTTGATGATGATGATGATGATGATGATGGTGTCCCGATGATGATGATGTTGACGATGATGATGGTGACCCGATGGTGATGATGGTGGCGGTGATGATGGTGACCCGATGATGATGATGATGAGGTGATGATGTTGTTCATGATGAAAATGGGATGGTGATGATGATGTTGGTGTTCCGATGATTGTGATGGTGATGATGACGATGGTGTCCCGATGATGGTGATGCAGATGATGTTGATGATGATAATGACGATGATGGTGGCCCGATGGTGATGATGATGTGATCATGATTCGATGATGGTGGCCCGATGCTGGCGATGATGATGATGATGCTGATGTTGATGATGGTGATAGTGTCCCGATATGGGTGGTGATGATGATGGTGACAATGCTGATGGTGTCCCGATGGTGATGATGTTGATGATGATGATGTTTTTGATGGTGATGGTGCTGTTCACGATGATGATAATATGATGATGATGGTGGTGTTGTTCCAGTGATGTTGGTGATGGTGTCCCGATGATGATGTTGGTGATGATGACGGTGACGATGATGGTGTCCCGGTGATGAAGATGTTGATTATGATGATGATGATGTGGGCGATGATGGCGGTGAGGTGATGATGATGGTGATGGTGTCTCGATGGTGAGGACGACGTTGATGAAGATGGTGTTGATGATGATGATGTTGATTGTGAGATCGGTTGTGATATTGATAGTGAGTTCGATGGTGCATCCGAATGTGAGATCGATTGTGAGATCGATGGTGAAGTCGATCGTGCGATCGATTGGGAAATCGATAGTCAGATCGTTTGTGAGATCGATCGAATGAAACATATCGAGTGATATCGATTGTGCGATCGACCGGCTGACATCGATCGAGCGAGATCGATAGTGAGATCGATAGTGAAATCGATAGTGAGACCGATCGAGTGAGACGTTAGTTCCTCCCCCCCGAGCCTCCTTATCACCCGAAGGGTGGTCGTATAGGTATACAAATTGTCTCAGCATGTATAGCAACGGAGCTCTTTCCCCTCCGCCCCGCGTTTCCTCCTCTCCCTCCGCTCTGTATTCCAATGCCGCGATGCGTTTTGTTATTCCGCTTCACAGTCGTGATGCGCTCGGTTGTTTCGCGTCGCAGTCACGAGGCGTTCCGTTTCTGCTTCGCAGTCGAGTCTGTGCGTGCACGCAGCCGCTCTGTAATGTCTTCTCAGTCATACTTTTCTGAAGAATTGCCAATCGCGCACACTTCTGCCCACGCGTCCCTCCAGACGCTCGGTTCCATGGTGGTGGTGGTCCCGCGTCCATGTAGAATCGGCTCTCTCCGTCGCCAATCGTCGCAGGCGACATTCCCTCTCCCAATTCCCGAGTTCAGCCCGAGATACACCCCAAGGGGGAAACCCTGAGATACACCCCAAGGCGGCTATTCGGACGCACCCCTATCGAGGATGGACGCCCCCCACTCGTATATCCCAGGGTTGGGCCCCAAACTGTTGGTCCATTCGAGAATCTCACGAAGCTTGGGATAGGTGTCGGCACATTCCATATTCAATCGGGCGGCGCTGGCCTCACTGTTCGGGGGGGGCCTTCCCCGATCCGCGGGCCTGGCGCCCACGCGCCAGATCCACGGATTCCTACTGCGTGTGCCCGAAACGGTAGTCAGCCAGTCCTTTCTGACCCCCTCAGTCCGACCTGGGTTTGGGAGCCACCGGGGGCCGACCCCCCGATCCCCCCTCTTCGGGTGTTGCTAGAGGTGCCCCTGGCCCAAGGTGCCCCCAGCTTTTCGTTCCGTTTTGGGGCCCCGGGGGCCTTCTGGGCCTCGTGAGGGGTGCTCTGGAGGGCGTGGGGGCCTCCTTGGAGATCCTGGGGGCACCTTGGGCCAGGGGTACTTCCAGCAACACCCGACCTCTCCGCCCTCCGCTGACCCGTGTTTGGGAGCTCCGTCGTGGCCGGCCTGGGTTCGGGGCATGGCCTCAGTTTGGGTCAGCGCTGACCCGGGTCAGGGCGTCCCCGAATGGTCAGGCCCTCCCGGAAACCAGGACATTGTCCATCAAGACTTCGCAAGTGTTAGTTGCAGGGATCGGTGTTTCGGCCATCTGCAGCAGTTTTTCTGGGTGCGCCGGCGTCCTGGTTGACGAAAGAGTCTCCTCTCCCTTCCCTCGAGCCTCCTTGCAGATGTTGATGAAGCTCCTGCGGAGCCTCCCCGTTCGCCTGCCCCTCCGCATCCTCCTCCTCCCCTCCTCCTCGCTGAGTCCCGCACTGCACTTCGCTGGTCAGGGCTCTGGTGACGGAGCGTCTTGTGCCACAGGTGCGGTCGCGCGGGCTCGACGACGACGCCGACGCCGACGCCGACGCCGACGCCGACGACGCCGACGCCGACGCCGCCGACGCCGACGCCGACGCCGACGACGACGACGACGACGACGGCGACCTAGTCGCCGCCGTAAAGTCGGGCTTGGCGAACAGCTGGCGGCGTTCGGGGCCAGGGCCGGGTTGGAGCAGATTCGAGCACCGGCGCCGCGGGGGGGGTAGCGGGGGACCAGCGTGGGCTGGGCTCGCAGTGCCGGCAGCCCGCGGCCGCAGCGCCCTCTTAGGGGGACAGGGCCCCCCCCACCGGGCCTTAATGCCCCCGGGGGCGCCAGGAGGGAGTGGGTGGACCCGGGGAGGATGAGGACACCCGCAGCGCGGAGTGCGCCCGGCATTGGGGGTGACCCCGTGCTACCTTCCTGCGGCGCGGCCCTGCCCAGCTGGGCACCCCCTGCCTCGGGCGGGGTGCCCCGCGGCGGCCGCTGGCGGCCAGCTCTTCTTTTTGTTCTTGCACCGCGCCGGCGAGACCATAAAGCTGCCCGCGCTGCGGGCCATCGTGGGAGCAGGCGGCTGGGCCCCACCCCTCCCCGCAGTGTGTAAAACGACGCGAAGATCGGGACAAAATCGGATCGGGATATCTCGAAATCTCTGAGAATCGGCGGGTTTGGAGGACGTATTGGCCGCCGCGGCCGCTCCAGAGCGTTCCAGAACGCTCTGAGAGCGCTCCGGAACGCTCTGGAGCAATTTATCCCGATCCTAGCCCTGTTTTAGTGTGGACGGGGCCTGCAGCTTGGCCTTCGCAGAACCTGAGGCCAGCTCCGGTACAAATTTGCTGGCCTTCAGCGACGATGTCAGGGGTTATGATGTTCCAACCTACTGTAGCCTTGATTCGCCAGGAAGAATTTCGAGCACCAGGAAAGTACCGAAATTGGAAGGTGTTCACGTGTCGGGCCCTAGGAGGCGATACTCGTTCGACATTGTTTCGGTTTTTTGGGGGGTTCTCGATATTCGTTTCATGAAGTACGATGGGAGCAACATAAGTCAGGGGGGAGGGGGGTGGGCGGCAGCGCCGCCACGATTTGCGCCGGCGCTGTCTGGGATCTGGCTCCCTCCAGCCATTCCCCGGCAGCGCCGGGGCAAGGCGTGGTGTTACCAGTGTGAGGTGGAGGGGAGGGTGGCTCCAGCAACCGTCGGCGCCAAATGTTGCCAATGCTCTCGGGGCTACCTTGCACCGCAATGCAAGGTAGCCCCGCGAGCAAGTGGCGCCGAGATAAACTTTGCTTCTGGGCGCCACCTCAATGAGGGCACACGACGCCCTCAGGGTCAACGTCAGGGGTGGGGAGAGGCTCAGATGGAATCGCATCGCCGATTGATCGCCGGCACTTGGCCGCAACAGCAGTTCCTTGGAAACGCGCAGGAGACGCTGTCGACTTGGCCCCAAGACAATGCCAACGCGAAGTCAAACCGCAGGATGTGCGTCCCGTCCGGGATGTACGGGAGCTCTTCAATTACGGTTGTGATCTTGTATGTCTTGAACTCAGACTGTGCTATGCAAGATTACATCAGGGACGCGGGATCCCAGCTGGACTACGCCGGACGCGTGCCCTGCTAGCTAGGCTTCTACGCGGGTTGGGAGAGAGGGTCAATGCCTTCGGAACCGCCGCCCCATGTCCAGGCTGCCGTCGCAGCGAGGTCGTGTCGACGGTCTACGAGCCACGTGTGCACTCGAACGCCCTCAAAAAAGCAAGGAACGTTCGACGCGGCGATGCTCGCTTTTTATCAGGAGGAAAGAAACACACAGACACAATTAATCGTCGATCCCCAGGAAAATATGGGAAAATATGGGAAGTGGGGGGGAAGACAAAAACCCAGAAAATATAGGAAAATATGGGGAATATTTTTATTTGTGTGTATTTATTTGTGTGTCCCGGGGCCCCTTCATTGTACTCCGAAGACAACAGCCAGGCGACAGCACGGCAGTTCAAGATCGCCTCGAAGACCCAAGGCGGAGGCGAGAGCGAAGCGGCGGCAAGGCTGCGGCTCTGCGCAGGCGCGAGCGGGCGCGTCGCTGTCCATTCCCAGGGAGGCAACAGCGCGTCATAGGCCAAAGACGACAGCAAAGCGGCGGCAAGGATACGACTTCGCGCAAGCGCGAACGGGCGCGTCGTTCACTCCCAGGGCGACATCAGCGCGACAGCAGTGACGCCGAAGCGCACATGCGCGAACAGGCTGTCCCAAGACAGCAGCGATGCGAGAGCACTGGCAGTTTCAAATCGCGTAGGAGGCCGCTTTGCGCAAGCACGAAAGGGCGTTTCGCTGTTTACTCTCAAGGCGACCGCACGACAGCAACTGGACGTCAATGACGCGGAGTTGCGCGTGCGCGAACTGGCTTGGCCGCAACAACAGTTCCCGTGGAAATGCGCCAGAGACGGTCCCAATCTGACCCTAGGACAACGCCAATGCGAAATCAATCCGGAGGATCTGCTTTCCGCCCAAGATGTATGGGAACTACTTTATTACGGGTGGGATCTCGTATTTCTCGAACTCGGATTATTATCTTAGCTTACATCAGGGACGCGGGATCCTGGCCGGACCACGCAAGACGTGTCCGTCTAGGTTTCTAGGGGGGTAGGGGGGGGGTCAGTGCCTCCTGCACCGCCGCCCCATCTCGGCGTGGTCGTGCCGCGAGCGTGGTCGTGGCGTGGTCGTGCCTGCGAGCCACGTGTACATTCGAGCGCACTCTCAGCACATCGGACAACGCTCCACAGTGCGATGCGGAGGCCTGACAGCCCACCCCGCCCAGGAGCGCGCGCTCACCATCGAGGCCTCTCGCCGCCTGTTCGGGTCGATGCGTCGGCGAGTCCAGCTCGATGCTGCCCCCCCTGGGAGCCCGTCCTCCCCCCTGCCCGCTCCTTGCACTCCCTCCCCGAGGGGGCCCGTCACCTCCCTCGTTGTGCAGCGGATGTGGCTGCCCAGTGAGTGCGTCAGCAGGTCTTCGGTTGCCGTGTAACTCTTCCTCCTCTTTTCTCCTCCTCTTCCTCCTCTTCCTCCTCCTCCTCCTCCTCCTCCTCGCTTGCTGGGATCGCCGGGTCCGTTGCCGCGAGCTTCGGCCCCGCATCGAGGGTGCGGTTCGTCCTCGCTTCCTGTGGGCGGTTGTGCGCCCTCACCTGCTCCGGCTGCTCCCGCATGTCTCGCATCTCGACTCGGCGCGCCGCGTCACGTGCTCGCTGCCCCCTTGAGGTGCGCCTCACGATGAACGACAGCATCCACGACACGGCCCCTCAGCAGCAGAGCGCTGACCTCGCCTACGAAGGGGTGCGCAAGGCGCCTTTCTCCCCATTGTTTGTATGTATATGTATGAAAGTTGGTAGTATTCCTACATACGTACATGTATACATACATACGTACATGCATGCATGCAAACAAACAGACTTGCATCCATCCACCCACGCATACCTACATACATACACGTACATACACATTTATAAATTACACATATGCATACATACATACATGCAGACCGACAGACAGACGAACAGACAGGCGGACAGGCAGACAGACACACATATGCATACATACTTACGTATATACATACTTACATACACACATGCATACATACAGACATACACACATTTAGTACATACACATACCTATGTTTTCATATAGAGATATTGTGTCTACACATGTATACGCGGAGTCCACATCACGCAAGTTGAAGGATGAGCAGCAGCATTTGGGATTACGTACCCCCGAAGATTGCGGCTATGAGCAGCAAGAGAAACAGGAATAAGCTTTGGAGGTTGCGAAATGCAGGTTTTCAGGTGACGAGGATCAGTTGGAGCAGCAGCAGCAGGAGGCGAAGGAGGGCAGGAGGAATCACTCTATGTGAGAAGCAAGCACAAAACGTACTTTCGGAATCTCGAATGGAGGATCGAGGATCGATGCTCGATGTGGTTTGTTTTGCGCGGGTGTGTGGTATGTGGTGACTATATATATATATGTGTGTAGCGTGGTGTGGTATGGTATTGTGTGGTGTGTTGTGTGCGTGTGCCATTGTGTCTGTGTGTGCGTGTGTTTGTTTGTGTGTGCGTTTCTTTTGTTTGTGTGTCGCGTGTTGTCGCCTTTGTGAGTGTGTGCGTGCGTGCTTTTGTGTGTGTTGTCGGGGCCACGCCTCCCGAAAGGCCAAGCGGCTAAACGAGCGACGAAGTGCAAAGCTCCTTGAGCACATCAGCCGTCGAGAGGGCCGCGCCTAGGACTCCGGGCTGCGGGCCCATTTTCAGACCAATAAGAGTACGATGCAGAGAAACCGAAGGGATATGAGGACATTCCACTTCGTGCCTCGACGCACGATGTTGGATACATCTGTGTACCTATATATATATAGAGAGAGAGAGAGAGAGAGAGATTCCCCAATCAGTGCTTGCACTGAAGGGGTCCTAGCGGAAATTGGAAGATGTGGCGCAAGTCCCGGGCCAACTTCGGTAGGCCGGGTTCCCGGGTTCCCTGTTCCGGGTTCCCGGGTTCCCTGTTGCTGGTTCCGGACCGATTTCGGTGGGCGGCGGGGTTCCCGGGTTTCATTATCCCTGGTCCCTAGTCGATCTTTTTATCGATCGGTCTCATCATCGATCTCGGTACCCATTTCCCCATGGATCTCACAATCGATTTCACAATCGATTTCATTATCGATCTCACAGTCGCTGTCACTGTAGATCGCACGAGCGACCTCACGATCGTTCTCACTATCGATCTCAACTGAACCGACTTCACTATCGGTCTCACGATCGACCTTACTATCGTTTACAGTATCGATCCCACTATCGATCTCACTGTCGATCTCGCAGTTCATCTCATTATCCATAACACTATTTTTTAGACCATCAACTTTTCGGGCTTTTCTCTGGTGGATGCCGAAGTCTTTTGCATGGATGTGCAGATCAGCGCCTGCGCCGAGACGCCAAGCGCACAGGACGCAGCCATCATCCAGCGATGACGCCTGCACGCAGAGCTGACGGAACCATCGTTGCCAGCGTTAGCCGCTGATTTGAATCGATCGGTCGTGCACGCCATAGTTGAGACCTCCAACCTTGAAGGGACCATGTTAAATAGGACATATGATCTGATATATATATATATATATATATATAGATATAGATATATACACATCTACATATATATGTATATATGTACATCTGTCTTATGTGTACAAATATACATATATACAGATACGCCTATACGTATACACATTTCCCAATGAGTCCGAACGATGCTATGCGGGTTGGCAGCCCCCCCCCGTTTCCCCGAGACTCTTGGGAGCCCCGGGACGGCAATAGAGGGCCCCTCCGAGAGCCCCCTCGCGGCCCCAGAGCACCCCGGATGAGCCCCCACGCCGCACACGGAGGTCCCGAAACTATCCCAGACGGCCCTCGTGCGGCCCATGACGCTCTCCAGACGGCCCCAGAGGCTCCAAGGACGCACTCGGACGGCTCCAAGAGGGCACTCTCGGAGGCCCTAAGAGGTGGAAACCAAGAATATCTCAGCGGTTTTCTGAAGATTTGGGCGGTCTCGCGCTCTCGATCGTCAGGACCCTCAAGACAGCCCCAGAGGCCTCCAGGATCGCCCTGAGGCAGCCCAAGAAGCCCTCAAGAGAGCCCAAAGAGGCTTCCAAGAGGGGCCCAAGATGCCCACAACACGGCCCAAGAAGCCCCCAAGAGGCCCCCGAGACGGCCCAACTAGACCCCAAGAGGCCCCCAATACGGACCGAGATGGCCCCGAGTCTGCCCACGAGGGCTTCACGACGGCCCAAGATGCCTTGAAGACGGCCTCAGAGGGCACAAGACGCCCCCAAAGCGCCCCAGGAGGACCCTTAAGAGGGCTTCACGTCGCCGAATTCATCGATTCCACGTTGGTTCTCGATCGCTCCCTGCAGCTTGCTGGAATGCGACGCGCACGCAGCTTCGCGAGGGTCGGACACCTCGGCCCCTTCTGCACAGAATTTGGGGGACTCCCTTGGAGAGCGAGCCGAGCAGAGGCTGCACGGGTTCAACTGCCGTAGCTCTGAGCGCCAGACCCCAGTGCGCGCCACCAGACGCCGACCGGCTCAACGCCCTGGATTAGCCCCCGACCGCGCCTGTGCAACAGCGCAGCAGGGAGGAGGCTGAGTGCAGGAGCGCCGCAAATTCGACGAGTTGTCTGATAAGGACGGATCGTGAAGTCGACCTCGTCTTTGTCCGCGCGATAAGAGGGACGTCGAGTTCACACCCCGTGGCAGTTCAGCGAGTGGTCTGAATTGGGGAGTGCCGTGATCCCGACATTCGTCTTCGTCCGCACGGTGGGGAGGAGAGGGAGTAGGAGAAGGAGGAGGAGGAGGAGGACGAGGAGGAGGATGAGGAGAAAGAGGAGGAGTCGGAGGAGAAAGAGGAGGAGTAGGAAGAGGAGGACGAGGAGGACGAGAAGGGGGAACACGAGGAGGAGGAGGAGGAGGAGGAGGAGGAGGAGGAGGAGGAGGAGGAGGAGGAGGAGGAGGAGGAGGAGGAGGAGAGGGAGAACATGGGGCATCCTGGAAGCCTCCTGGGGGGGCCTCTTAGGGACCTCTTGGGGGCCTCCTGGGGCCTCTTGGAGCTGATTGTGGCATCTCGACCCGTCGTAGGGATGCGATTGGCCTGTCTGACGCCTTCGGAAGCCGTCCTGGGCTTCTCTGGGCCGTCTATGTGCCCTTTTAGGCCCTCTTGGGGGCCTCTTGGGTTGTCTTGGAGCTATCTTGGAGGCCCCTTGGGCCGTCTTGGGTGGTTGGAACCCTAAAAATGGCGAGAACTTCCAAATCCTTCAAACACCGTTGGGAAATCAAGGGTTTTGGCCTCCTCGGGCTCTCCTTGAGGGCTTCTCGGCGCCCTCTCAGGTCGTGTTGGTGGCTTCTTGGGCCGTCTGGAGGCCGTCTTCAGAGCCGAAAAGACCGCTGGGTGTCAATGTCAGAGGGGGCGATGTTTGAGGACTGCGTGCTACCAGGGGGGCGGTCGAGCCTAGAAAACTAAAGAACCAACCCAGGCAACAGCAAGCATTCTAACACGCCCACTGGGAATAACGCCCAGTGGCGGACGTATCCATATATATATATATATATATGTATTTATATATATATATATGTATAGGTACACACGTGTGTAACCATACATGTCATATATAGTAGGATGTATATGTGTTTTTTTGCGCACACACGCATATACATACCTACATTTATAATTGCACACATACGCATATCAATGTATGTGTATGGGCATGTATACACACATGCATACACATATATATACACACATGTTTACACGCATGCATGCATGCGTGCATCCATACTTGATTGCACATGTGTACGTACACACATACGTACAAACAAACATGTATACGCGCGTCGCACATATACATATACCCACACATACATACATACGTACTTGCACATACATACATACATACATGCATGCATGCATGCATGCATACATACATGCATACATCCATCCGCACATACACGTGTACCCATACATGCATGCATGCGTGCATGCATGCATACGTGCATGCAAACATACATACACGTGTACGTGCGTGTATGCGTACATGTATGTATGGATGCATGATTATATGTATGTGTGCATGGTTGTTTGTATGTATGTATGTATGTATGTATGTATGTATGTATGTATGCATGCATGTATGTATGCATGTGTGTATGTATGTATGCATGTATGTGTGTATGTATGCATGCATACGTGCATGTGTGTATGTCAATATGCATGCATGTATGCATGTATGTATGTCTGCGTATGTGCGCATGTGGATGTGCATGCATGCTTATCTATTTGGATATATAAAAGAATGCGTATGCGTATGCAGTTATGTAGCATGCTACTGGACCCAGCCCTAGAAGCCTTTCGAGGAAAAGCTTGAGAGAGCGAGGCCGAATCACGGATGATCAACAAACATTGAGCAATTCAGTTTCAATAGTTCTCCCTTGCCTCAAGTTTTACTTCAGACGAGCTCAGCCGTCTGAATTGCTTGCGCAGATTTGGCTGTGAGAAACGTGGCCCATTCCCTCCAGCATTGTGCACGAAATCACGGACGATCATCCCGCACTCGCAGTCGTTCAGGGCGAGCCGGATGAGGTTGCCAACGAGCACGTCGGTAGAGTCGATGATGGTGGCAGGGGCTATGAGCGGGCGCCACCAAAATCCCTTCGGCAAGGTGGCTGCCGGCCTGCCAGGTGCATCCTCGACGGCCGCGGCATCCGAGCGGAGGTCGAGCTGCGGGAGTGACGCCGACTCCTGGACAGAGGTCGTGAGCCTTGACGCGATCTCGTCCCTCAGCGGCCCGAAGTCGTAGCCCACGATGCCCCAGGCACGGTCGGCCCAGCACGGCGTGAAGGTAACGTTCGCCGCCCGCTAGGCCATTGCCACGGTCCGTCCGCAGGTAGCGGACCTGAACACTCAGGGTCTCAAATTCTCTATTCGGTCGAACGCGTTGGAATTGCGTAGCTGCTAGCGGCCGTCCTGGTGCGACGACGTCGGGGATGCCCCCCTCGGCGTCCAGAAACAGGCGGCCTGAGCGGCTGACGATGGTCACGCTCAGAGGTCATAGCCCCGCCACGCGGTCTCCTCCAGGCCGAGCGTGCTGTCAGTGGTGGTCCCCACGAGCTGGGCCGCAGAGTCGGTCGCATTCGCCCCAGAAGCGAGGGCGCGGTTGGCGGCGCCGCCCACGCCCTCCACGAGGTCGGTCACTGCCCTCACGCCGCGGGCCATGGGGAACATCAGAGCGCGAATTACCTACCCCGCTTTCGCTTCCAGGCAAAACCAAGTCAATCACGCGCCTCCTCGTCAAGCGGCCTGACCAGCGCAGGCCGTAGTTTGGCGTCGCTTGGTACCTCTTGGAAGCAAGGGTGGTCAAAAGCAAGGTAGGTTTGTTTGCGCCCTAGAACAGGGCCACGGGGAGGACCGCCAGCACCGCCAGCGCCATGACCAGGCTCTTGGCCGTCGTGGCGCGCGCGCTCTGCAGCCCCAGCGGCGAAGCCCCGCGCGCCGCGGCGGCGCGGGCGCCGAGGCGGCCCCAGCGCCGCAGGCGGCGCCCCAGCAGCAGCAGCAGCAGCAGCAGCAGCACCAGCACCAGCACCAGCAGCAGCAGCAGGGGCCTTGATCCTCCTCCTCGATCCTCCTCCTCGATCATCCTCCTCCTCCTCCTCCTCGATCCTCCTCGATCCTCCTCCTCGACCCTCCTTGATCCTCCTCGATCCCCCTCGATCCTTCTCGAGCCTCCTCCTCCTCTGGCCTCTGCCGCCGAAGGCGACGAGCTCAGCCCGATGCCCGCTCCCATCGCGCTCACAGGCGGCGCCGGAATCGCGGGGCACGGCGAGGAGACCATCGACCACGAGTTAGACGCCCCCGAAGTCCCACGCGAGCTCGGAGCAGGCGACGCCAAACGCCCAGGTGAGCCCTACGATTCATCCGCCTGCTCCCTTGCGCCCTTCGGCGGCATGCTGGGACGGGGCCTTGACGATGTACCAGGCCCAGCGGCGGCTCGCCCACGCGAGCGCCACATCAAGTCCTCGAAGTCGGAGTGCTTTGCTGGTTTGAGCCGCTGAGAGTACGCCGACGCAGATGCGCAAAATTGAAGCCATCCTCCATCTGCCCCTTCCGCAGAGCTTCCGCGCACCTTCCGCGGAGCGCGTGCGGGAGCGCCCGAGGAGGCTTCCCGGGCAGCTCTCCGGGCGCCCGGAGAGGCCCCCGCGGCAAGCCTCTCCGGGCGCTCCCGCACGCACCGCCCACATGGGCCTCTCCAGGCGCTCGGGAAGCCGGGAGAGGTACCCATGAACTCTTTCCGGGCACTCACGTGGGCACCTCCCAGAGCCTTTCTGGGAGCTCCAGTCTCCCTAAGGGCTTGTCGACTTTTCGCCAATCGACTTGTGAGAATCGAGCCAGATAAACCCAGGTAAATGCAGATAAATCGAGGTAAATCCAGGTAAATCTAGATAAATCTGGGTAAATCCAGGTAAATCCAGAGATCCTCAGGGAAAGTTCGAGCACTTCGCGGCCGCTCCAGCGCGAGTCGAAGGACGGCAGAAGTCGTTAAGCCTTTAACGACAGTCACGAATCACCTCGAACGGGACCCCGAGCGCCGAGGCCTCTGATGCACATCGTGCTTTTGGGGCTGTGCGGGGCCCATCCAGCACCTCGGCCGAAGCCCCTTGTGTATCTCCAGGAGCTCCCTCCAGGAGGTCTCCATGGGGTACGGGAAGAGGCGCTGGCCAGGCACGGTGATGTTGCGACGGTGACGACGGAGATGGATGACGGCGGCATCTTTTGGCAAGCCAAGTGAGGTTGCTTGTGCCCGCGTCGCCTTCGCGACCGTCGTGAGGCCGAGCCCGGTCGCGAGAGCGCCCGCGCCCTGGTCGTGTGAATGTATGTGTGTGTGTGTGTTGCGTGTGTCTTTGTGTCTGTGTGTGTGTTTGCGTGTTTGTGTGTGAGTGGGTGCGTGTGCGTGCGTATCCGCCTGACTTGACCTCAGCCGCGCCGGCGCGCGCGTGGCCGCGATGTCGAAAACGTGCGCGTGCGCGTGTATGTGTGCTTGTGCTTGTGCTTGTGTTTGTGTTTGTGTGTGTGTGTTTGCGTGCGTGCGTGAAGTTGTTTCTGTTATGCCTCTGCCGCTGGGCTCCGCATGGGCGGTCGCCAAATTGCCCGAGACGTACCCAACCCCTGCTCAATGCGAAGTGGATATTTGAGTGAACTCTCGATGCGTAAGAACACATCGCCAGGTATGCACGAGCTGCGCTGCACTCACCTCCGCCGTGCCTCTAAGGAGCCCACGGTAGTGGCGACAGTTGCGCACTTCGCAGCCACCGAGGGGTGCCGCGATGTCCCAAATGGATCTGCGCTGCCCTCACCTCCGCCGTGCCGCGCAGGAGCCCACGAAACTGGCGACCGTAGCGCGCTTCGCAGCCACCCAGGGCGCCGCGAGATCTGAAATGGATCGACGCTTCCCTCACCTCCGCCATGCTTCCCAGAAGCCCACGAAAGTGCCAACCTTTGCGCACTTGGCAGCCACCGAGGGAGCCGCGAGGTCTCAAATGGATATGCGCTGCCCTCATCTTCGCCGGGCCTCCCAGGAGCCCATGGAAGTGGCGAGAGAGAGTTGTTCACTTCACAGCCACCCAGAGAGCCGCGAGGTCTCGGCTGGATGCGTGTGGCCCCCACTCTGGACCTCCCAGGAGCCCACGAAATTGGCGACACTAGCGCACTTCGCAGCCACCCAGGGAGCTGCAAGGTCTCGGCTAGATGCGCGCGGCCCCCCACTCCGCAGGATCTCCTGGGAGCCCAGGAACGTGGCGACAATTGCGCACTTCGCAGCCACCCAGGGAGCCGCAAGGTCTCGGCTAGATGCGCGTGGCCTCCCACTCCGCTGGACCTCCCAGGAGCTCGGGAGAGTAGCGACAGTTGCGCACTTCGCAGCCACCGAGGGAGCCGCGAGGTCTCGGTTGGATGCGCGTGGCCCTCCGCTCCGCAGAATCTCCCTGGAGCCCAGGAACGTGGCGACAGCTGCGCACTTCGCAGCCACCCAGGGAGCCGCAAGGTCTTGGCTAAATGCGCGTGGTCCCCCACTCCGCTGGACACTGCGGACTTCGCAGCCGCCCAGCAGGTAAGGTACGAGCAAGGGAGGCAAGGAGGCAGGAGGCAAGAAGGAAAGGGGGGGAGAAAGTGGGCGGGAGCTTGCGCGAGCAGTGCGCTCTTCAAAACGACAGGAGGGTTGGGAAACGTGTGTGTGTGTGTGTGTGTGTGTGTGTGTGTGTGTGTGTGTGTGTGTGTGTGTGTGTGTGTGTGTGTGTGTGTGTGTGTGTGTGTGTGTGTGTGTGTGTGTGTGTGTGTGTGTGTGTGTGTGTGTGTGTGTGTGTGTGTGTGTGTGTGTGTGTGTGTGTGTGTGTGTGTGTGTGTGTGTGTGTGTGTGTGTGTGTGTGTGTGTGTGTGTGGATCTCGCCGCCCTGCCCAGAGGGGCACCGCAGGCTGACCTCACCCGGAAGGCGGCCAGCGTGATGCGCGCGGCCTCCCGAAGCAGCAGCAAGACGTCTGTGCGCTCGGCCCCCGGCGGCGCGCAGACGCGCGGGCAGCGCCAAGGGGGGGGGCGACTCAGCACGGGGGTCGCCCCGTGCTCATGCAGGATCGGAGGTCGGCGGCGAGCGAGAGGCGGAAGTGAGAAGGTGAAGGCCTTCTCAGAAGGCGGCGGGACTTCTCAGAAGCCCCCGCGCCTTCCGAATAGTGCTCTGCGTCTTCGGGGGAGGCCCAGAAGGCTCCTCAGAAGGCCTGGGGGCGTCCACGGCTTCTGAGAAGGCCCGCCCCTTCTCACTTCCCCCCGGGCTCGCCGCCGAGAAGCACAGGGAGGAGAGATCGAGTGGCTAAGAAGTTCTGGACGCCAGTGGACGTCTTCGGGGGTGTCGGGGGAGGCCCCGAGGGGCTCGGCACGGGGACCCGCTTCCCAGAGGAGGCGGCGACCTCCTCAGTGGAGGCCCCCTCGGCAGAGCCTGGGGAAGCGGGCGCCCGAGCCTCCGGCGCGATCCGAACATGTCGCGCAGGGGGTTTTGGTCTCATCGTTTTCGGCATCGCGGGGGGATCCGCTCCCGCGTTGGGGCACCAGGCCCGAGAGTTCTGGCGGTTTGATGGTTCTGCGTCGGCTGGATGGTCAACCCTTTTTGTTCCGAACCATCCTGTGGTTTTGGGTTCTCGTCTTGAAGAGGCAGCGCCCCGCGTTCCTCACCTCACCTCACCTCACGCGCTCCTCGCCCTCCCCCCTCCTTGCCTCTGCGCTCCGCATGTCTATGTTTCGGCACACCTTCACGCGTTTTGTGGCCCCATAGGGAGCTCCACCAAAGGCCCCCGTGGCAGGGTTCGCATGCGTCCCCCCACCCATTTCGGCACAACCCTCACGCAATTCGTGGCCCTATAGGGAGCTCCACCGAAGGCCCCAGTGGCAGGGTTCGCATGCGTTCCCCTGCCCATTTCAGCATACCCCTCTCACGTTTCGTGCCCCCATGGCGAGCTCCACAGAAGGCCCCAATGGCAGGGTTCGCATGCGTCCCCCCGCCCATTTCGGCACACCCCTCACACGTTTCGTGGCCCCATCAGGAGCTCCACCGAAAGCGGTACCCACAATGCGGTACTCGCATCTGCATGTGGTTGGGTCTTTCGTCAGGCTAACTGTTGCGTGGTTCTTCAACCGGTGGGTGTTAACTTCTTCTGCTGCTTGGGCGGTTTCGATGTTGTCGGCGCTGACTTCCACTGGGATATTTTTCCGTGGGTCCGGGATGGAATTCTGCCACTCAAGGAGAAGGTCGGGAAGCGAGGGGCCGTGGTTGAAAGCAAACAAGCTCGAATGTCTGGCAGGGGGGCGCCTGGACGAGCCAGCTCGTGTTTATCAATCGCCACAGGCGGGGCACACAGGCAGGGCGAGCGCTCCGAGACGGCCCAAGACTTGTCCTGGACGGCCACAGAGGCCCTCAAGACGGTCCGAGAGGCCGTCGAGAGGGCCCCCCAAGGGCGCCTTGACTGTCTGCGACTCGGAAAATGTCGCGACAGAAGTGTCCACGCTTGTTTCTGGACGCGGCTTCTGGGCCCCAAGTCAGGGCCCCGAAGAGCGGGTCATTAAAAAACATGCCTTTGCCAAATCGAAGCGGAGCAAACGAAGAACGGTCGGACGAGGCCAGGATGAGGATCAATCCATTCCAGAGCGTTCCGGAACGCTCTCAGAGCGTTCCGGAACGCTGTGAGGAGGCCGCGGCGCCCGAGACATCCAGCAGAACCGCCAGATCTCGGAGATCTTCGGTTCATCTCACCCGTCTGAGTTTCTCGCCCTGGCTTCGTCTTAAGAGGGGATTGCCTCGACCTTCGGCTGCAGTTGTCTCGGATGCGCCCGTGGCCCGGCTTGTCAAATAGATTCCGTTTACGGGGACCCTGCCCGGGGATCGTCAATCAGTCATGTTTTGGAGGAAGAGCTTGGCAGGCGGAAGGGGTCGAGAGTTTCAGGGATCAGGGGTTATCAGGAGGGAAAAATAGAGACAGACGCCAATCAACGTCGACACCCAGGAATTGATAGGAAGATCGTGGAAATGTGGGGGAAGACGACAATCATGATAATCAGAGTTAGGGGGCCGAACGGTCATTCACTGCCCCTGTGTGCGTGGCTGAAGTGGACTTCGCGGTGCGGGTTGTTGTTGTTGCTGTTGTTGTCGTTGTTGAACACCTCACTACTGAAGAATAATTATTGTTGATCCTTCCTTCGGTGACCAGGGTATTTTTTCAATTGAAGTGCTCCCCCCGGGACTCGCACTTTTTTATCGGGAAAAGTCATGTGGCTCAAACTGGGCCCCTGGGCCCTGGTTTACACCACCAATAATTATTCGTCAAAAATGAAAGTTCAACAGCAGCAACTGCAGCAACAGCAACAACAACCACAACAACAGCACACCACCACACAACTACACAACTGCAAAATAACAAGAATCATGTTAAGACTGTTCGCTCCTATCCGCTCACGTGCCAATCTGTTCGTATGTCCCAAAGCCTCGGTACCCGCCCGCGTCGTCTTCGATCGCACCCCCCTGGTGGTTTGTCTTCCTTACCTGCCACGCGCATGTAGTGCAGACCCTAGAACACGGGAGGAGATGACAGGTGGAAGGGGAGAGAAGAATGGAGCATGAGAGAAATTAGCAGCAGGGAGGCAAGGAACAGAAAACAATTGGTAAAACCAGACGGGCAAATCGGGTGGGCAGAACCACAGCGGGCAGCTCGGGAGGCGGGCCCGGGCGACCGTGTCGAGCAGGCGGGTTGCTGAAGCGTGGGTGCGTGGGTCCTGCATGCGTCGCGAGGAAGTCCCGAGCGATAGCGCGATTCCCACATGAATCATGAGAGAAACCAGAGCGAGAACGTAACTCCTGAGCGCCGAGGGCACATCGTCTGAATACATTGCGAGGAAATCCTACGCGAGAGCGCGATGCGTACATGACTTGTGAGGAAGTCCGGCGCGAGAGCGCGATTGGGGAATGTATGGTGAGGAAGTGTGAGGCGGAAGCCGTTGTTGAATTTTCACTTTTGAAGAATAATTATTGTTCATCCCCCCCCACCGGTGCGTACTGTTTTTCTCAATCGAAGTGTGCCCCTCGACGCTCGCACCTTGTTTTTTGACAGGGGAAGTCTTGATGCTCAAACTGCGCCCCTGGCCCCCGGGTTACAACAACAACGGCTCCCGCTTGAGACTTCCTTTCAATTTAGCCAGGACCCCCGCTCCCGGCCGAGACTTCCTCACATTTTATTTAGGAATCGCGCTCTCGCGTGGGACTTCCTTACAATTTATTCAGGAATCGCTCTCCTGGCGCTCTGGAGTCGCGCCCTCGCTGGAGACTTGCTTGCAACTTACTGAAGAATGGCCTTGCGTTGGAATTTCATGCAATTTGCCCAAGCGCCGCGCTCCCGACACCCAGGCACCCAGGAGTCGCGCTCGTTGTGGCCCCATGTGCATGCCCTTCGTGGCCCCGCTGTCACCATTTGTGTCCCCTCACTGTCCTACGTCGCCCACTTGCTACCCTCAGTGGCCCCATAGTTGCCATCTGCTGCCCCACATTATCTGCACTTCGTGGCCCCCGCTCGTTCGCGCTCTTCGTGGCCCCATACGCATTCCCTTCGTGTCCCCGCTGTCGCCCTTCGTGGCCTACTTCGTGCCCTTCGTGGCCCTGCTGTCGTTCTCTCTCGCTCTCGCTTTCGCTCGTCGTCGCCGTCGTCGTCGTCTTCGCCGTCGTCTTCGACGTTGTCGTCGTCGTCGTCGTCGTCGTCGCCGTCGTCGTCGTCGTCGTCGTCGTCGTGGTCGGTCCCCTGTCCGTCCCTCTTTGGGGTCGGGTCGACGGTCCGCGGCCGCCCCGCCGATCAGCGCTGCCGCTGGCAAGGCCGACGGTCCGTGGCCGCCCCGCCGCTTGCCGGGGCCCGGCCTGCAGGAAAGAAAGGTATACCCCCCAAAAGGGGTTCGATCCAAGACGAAGAGGGCGGGTATCGAGGGTTTGGGAAATACGCGTTATTGGACACTCGAGCATATAAGAGCGAACGGTCTTAAACTTATTATTTATATGATAATTATTCTTATCATTCTTCTTATTAGTATTATTATTATTATTATTAGTATCATTGATGTTGTTGTTCTTGTTGTTGTTGTTGATGTTGTTGTTGTTGTCGTTGTTGTTGTTGTTGGTGTTGTTGTCGTCGTTATTGTTGTTGTTGTTGAATGCTCACGTCAGGAATAATCATTGCTGGTCCCCCCACCGGTGCACATTGTATTTTTCAATTGAAGTGCCCCTCCCGGCGCTCGCACCCAGTTTTTCAGCAGGGAAAATGTTGAGGCTCAAACTGTGCCCCTGGCCCCTGGGTTACAACAACAACGGCTCCCGCTCGAGACTTCCTCATAATTTAGCCAGGACCCCGCTCCCGCCTGAGACTTCCTCGCGTTTTACTCAGGCATCGCGCTCTCGCTTGGGACTTCCTTATAGTTTATTCCGGAATCGCTCTCTCGGCGCTTTGGAGTCACGTTCTCGCTGGAGACTCGCTTGCAATATACCCAAAAATAGCGCCCTTTGCGTTGGAATTTCCAGCAATTTACTCAAGCGCCACGCTCCCGACACTCAGGCACCCAGGACTCGCGCTCACGCTTAGGAATCCCTTATTTAGGACTCGGGATATAGCTGCAGTTCGTGGCCCCGTTGCAGCCCTTTGTGGCCCCCTCGCTGCCGTTCCTGGCCCAGTTGCGTCCCTTCGTGGCCCCCTCGCTGCCCTTCGTGGCCCCGATGCAGCCCTTCGTGGCCCCCTTCGGGGCCCCGTTGCACCCCCTCGTGGCCCCGTTCCTGGCCCAGTTGCGTCCCTTCGTGGCCCCCTCGCTGCCCTTCGTGGCCCTGGTGCAGCCCTTCGTGGCCCCTCTCCGCTGCCCTTCGTGGCCCCATATATGTATGCCCTTTGTGGCCCCCGCTCGCTCGCGCCCGTCGCGTCCCCACCCTTCGTGGCCCCGCTGTCGCCCGTTGTGGCCCCCTCGCTGCCCTTCGTGGCCCCGTTGCTGCCCTTTGTGGCCCCGTCCTTGCCCTCCGCGGCCCAATGTACGCATGCATTTCGTGGCCCCCGCTCGTTCGCGCCCCTTCGTGGCCCCATGTGCATTCCCTTCCTGGCCCCGCTGTCGCCCTTCGTGGCCCCCTCGCTGTCCTACGTGGCCCAGGTGCTACCCTCAGTGGCCTCGTCGTTGCCTTCTGTGGCCCCGCATTATCTGCCCTTCGTGGCCCCCGCTCGTTCGCGCTCTTCGTGGCCCCATACGCATTCCCTTCGTGTCCCCGCTGTCGCCCTTCGTGGCCTACTTCGTGCCCCTCGTGGCCCTGCTGTCGTTCTCTCTCTCGCTCTCGCTTTCGCTCGTCGTCGTCGTCGTCGTCGACGTCGTAGTCATCGACGTCGTCGTCGTTGTCGTCGTGGTAGGTCTCCTGCCCGTCCCTCTTGAGGTCGGATTGCCGCCGATCAGCGCTGCCGCTGGCAAGGCCGACGGTCCGTGGCCGCCCCGCCGCTTGCCGGGGCCCGGCCTGCAGGAAAGAAAGGTATACCCCCCAAAAGGGGTTCGATCGAAGACGAAGAGGGCGGGTATCGAGGGTTTGGGAAATACGCGTTATTGGACACTCGAGCAGATAAGGGCGAACAGTCTTAAAGTGATTGCTGTTGTTGCGGTTGTTGGTGTTATTGGTATTGCTGTGTGTTGTTGTTTGTTGTTGCTAAGTGTTGTTTTTCTGTTGGTTGTCGTCGTCCCGCCCGCGACCTGGCCCGCGACCCGCCCGCGATACACCCGCGACCCATCCGCGAAGCGCCCGCGACACTCCGCGCGACCCACCGCGCGACACCCTTGGGACCAACCAGCGACACACCCGCGGCCCACCCCGCGACCCGCCCGCGAGCCGCCCGCGAGCCGCCCGAGACTCACGGCGCGACCCGCCCGCGACCCGCCCGCGACCCGCCCGCGACTCACCCGCGACCCACCCACGACCCACTCGCGACCCATGCGCGACCCACGCGCGACCCACGCGCAACCCACCCGCGACCCACCCGCGATCCACCCGCAACCCAACCGCGACCCACCCCGCGACCCACCCCGCGACCCACCCGCGACCCACCCCGCGCCCGCCCCCTCGGTCTTATCCGCACTTGCGGGGTGCTACACATGATGGAATTCATGAGGAGTCCTGGGACTTGTGTCTGTTTATCTGTGCATCCCTGGGCCTCTTTGTTAGGCGACTCGATGAGATCACAAGTCGTCGGGGGCCACGGCGGGGCGAGGGGGCCCTTCTGTTGAGAAGGCACCCCGCCACCGGTCAGCCCTCCCGGTTCCTGAGCCTCCGTCTCTCCCCGTGGCTTGTAAGAAGGGGCACATCTCCTCAGAGAGGCCTGTCCCCAAACATGCCCGCGTCGGAAAACGTTCAGGATGGGAGGTGCTTTATAGTTTCCGGCCTCTGGGGACCCTCACCGGGCCCCAGGACCTTCGAACAACGGTTCAGGATGAATAGCCAGTCCTAGGGAAAGGGTCAGGACTTCCGGGGAGCGCGAAGTGAACAAATCAGGACGTGGCATGTCTGGGATGCCTCAGCAACGGCCGGCCGCACCGGCCACTCATGCCGAACACCTTCGTACTGCGAGTGTCCTTCCCCCCGTCCTCCTGGCTCCGCGGCCGCCCTCTGCCCTGCCCTGTCTCTTTCGCTTTCAGCCGGACAGACATCAGTACGGTCCGCCCCCGCCGCCAGAACGCGCGAGCAGGTTGCCTCTGCCGCGCCGCGGCAGGAAATCATGTCTGGGGTGCCTTCTCAAAAGACCGCTCCCCTTCCTTCGCCCTCCGTCCACATCCGCTCGAACCCGGGCCCCCGAGGCCGGTCCAGGGGTCCGTCTGGACTCCTCATACTCCCCCCCCATCCTCCTCCTCCTCCTCCTCCTCCTCCTCCTCCTCCTCCTCCTCCTCCCTCCTCCTCCTCCTCCTCCTCCTTCTGCTCCTCCCCCCCTCCCTCCTCCTCCTCCTCCTCCTCCTCCTCCTCCTCCTCCTCCTCCTCCTCCTCCTCCTCCTCCTCCTCCTCCGCCCTCTCCTCCTCCTCCTGCTCCACCTCCTCCTCCTCCTTCTCCACCTACTCGTCCTCCTCTTCCAGTTTCTCACGCTGCGCCCGGCCTAGGCCACGAGGGGCCCCCGGGGCTCCCCGAGAGGCAGCGTCAGAGGCATTACGCTCCCATCGGCCCGATTCGATTCGCGTCGGTCGTTGACAGCAGGTCTCTTGGGATGCCCAGCTCCCGAACCGCTTTCGCCGCCTTCCGACCTCACAATGATCGAGTGGTGGTTCCTCTTCCCTCCACTTCAGGTGGGCGTGGGGAAGCCCCATCTCTCTTTATTCCCAAGCCTTCCTAATTCATGTTTTTGCTCACTGCTTCCGACCGTCGGGTCTCGACCTCGGCCAACCCGACCCGGTCAGAATCGATGTGTTGCAAAGGCGTCATTGTACATCTTGGCATGCGCGAATCGTAGTCGGTTTCGACTCCAGCGCCGAAGCGGCCCAGGTCGAGGTACGCTCCGATGTCCCGATTTTCCGATTCGAAATCGACTGATCCTGCCGAATCCCAGGTCCCAGTGCATCCGCCGATGCGTTTGTCAATCCGCAGCCCCAGAGGTCCCGATCTCCTCTCTGGGGCCAGTGTCTTATGCTGGATCCGTTTCCGCTGGCCCCGGGGCCCGACAACGGGCCCCCCCGCAGGCCCACATGCCAGACGTGCGACGTCCTGACTTCTTCGGTGCGGCGCCCCCAGAAGTCCTGACGCTTTTCCCCTGCCCCTTCTTCTCCTCCTCCTCCTCCTCCTCCTCCTCCTTCTCCTCATCCTCCTCCTTCTCCTCATCCTCCTCGTTGGGCCTGCGAATTTTCTGGACACGTTCGGGTCAACGACACTGGACCACGACATCTTGGTGTCCAGCGTTTTGGGGCAGCCGACCCCTTGTAGCGAGCTTTTGGTGGCGTGTTTGCGGTGAAAAACAGAAGTCCTGACGCTTTTCCCAGGACCGGTTTTTCATTTTGAGTCGTTTTGTTTACGGCCCCGGGGCTCAGCGAGGCCCTCCAGGGGCCGAAAACGACGAAAATACTCCGTCCTGGTATTTTGAACGACGCGATCATGTGTGGGACCGGGGAAACTCTTCGTCGAAGATTTGGGCTTGCAGAGTCACAGGTCCAGCTCGCTTCTCCTCCGCCCCGCCCCGCTGTCTGCGCAGAGCGCCGAGGCACGGCGGCGGACGAGAACGCCTCGAGGTCGATGGTGCTCCAGGACGGACAGCGCCTCCCGAGTTCCGAGCACGCCTCTCGACCAGATCCCCTGGGGGCAGAAGGAGCCCCACAGATCCGATGTTCTGATGTTTGTCCATCCGGCGTTTTTTTCCTGGTTGTCGGCCTGCGTGGCCCGTTATCGGGCCCGGGGGCCATCAAAATTGGATCGGGGACGAAGCAACAGCCCTGGGGAAGGGTGTCGAGACCTCTAGGGCCGCGGATGTCTGGTGCAGGAGGGAGAAGAGGAGTTTCCTTCTCAGATTAGGAAGAGATACTGCTGCTGCTGCTGCTCACCCTGGAGAGCCCTCGTCGCCACGGCTGGATGTTCCTTGAAATTCTGGTCAGAAGGCATTCCCCAGGGAGAGGTCTCGGGAGTGGCGATATTGGTGCCTTTTGGTTCCCCCACCTCCACTTCATCTGCCCCCCCCTCATCCTTTGTCTTGTCCCGCTCGTCTCCCTCGTCGTCACCCTCCTCCTCATCCTCCTCACCTCCTCCTTCTCCTCCGGAAGACGGTGTTTTCGACAGTCCTGTCCAGGAAGAGGTTCAGCACGACGAGACTCTTCGTCCTCGCCCGTCTCCTCTCCTTGTCCTCCCAACCTTGCGCACCTCTTCCCAACACGCCGTTCGACCAACCCGCCCTGGATGGTGATGAGGAGGAATATCCGCCTCTTTTTGACGTTGGCCAACTGCTCCTGTTGCGTTCTGTAAGAGACAGAAGATGCCGACTCAGGCGGAGTAGCCAGCAGAGTATGCCGCGGACGCATGCAGCGAAGGGCAGGCACAGAGCAAAGCAAGCAACAGTGGCCCGACAGGGCGAGAACCTCCGCCACTCATCGTCGTCCTCCTTGTTATCCTCATGCTTATCCTCCTCTGGCGGGTGAGCTGCTCAGCTTTGACGTGCCGAGCGCAACCGCGAGGCCCGGGCCTTGGAGACCATGAGGTCAGGGCGCAACGTGCCTCAGTCATTTCTCGGGCGTCGATGTGTTCGAGTGTCTTGGGACTGGGCCCCCATATTCGCCAACCTGCTGTTTATCCTCCTGCTCATCTTCCTCCTCTTCCTCCCCTTCTTTTTCGTAATGTCTCATCGTGCTCCTCCTCCTCCTCCTCCTCCTCCTCCTCCTCCTCCTCCTCCTTCTCCTCTTATTCCTCCTCCTCCTCCTCCTCCTCCTCCTCCTCCTCCTCCTCCTCCTCCTCCTCCTCCTCCTCCTCCTATTCGTAATGTCTCATCCTGCTCCCGCTTCCCACCCGCTTCTTCTCATCTCCTGCCATCCGTCATCGTCCTCATCTTTTGGTGGTGTCCCCGACCGCGGCCTCCTCCTCCCTCCTCTCGCGCCCTCCGCCCTCCCTCCTGCACCGTCCTCCTCGTCCTCCCCCCATTTCGGCTGTGGGCGGGCATTGCCGCCTTGCTTCTCCTCCACCCTCCACCTTCTCGTCCTCCGCCCTGCTCCCCCCCCCGCTCCACGAACCGATGTCATCGCTGTCATGATCCTCCTCCCTCATCCTTTCCATCCGTCCATCCTCTCCCTCTCCCTCGTCGCCCTCTCCCTCCCTCTTCTCCCTCTTCCTCTTCTTCTTCCCTCTTCTCCCTCTTCGTTCGCTCCCTCTTCCTCTTCTCCCTATTCCTCCTCCCTCTCCCGCTTCCTCCCTCGTTCTCATGGTCCCCCTCTCCTTCATCCCTCTTCCCGCCTCTCTGCTGCATTATATATGGCCCCGGGCTCTGGGCCCACGGGTCCCCCCCCCAGATGGTATGGTCCCAGGATTCCTCGGCCCCCCCCCCCCCCAGATGGTATGGTCCCAGAGACGACGACGACGACGACGACGACGACAACGACGACGACGACGACGACGACGACGACGACGACGACGGCGACGGCGACGACTACGACGACGGCGACGACGACGACGACGACGACCACGACAGACGACGACGACGGCTGCGGCGGCGACGACGCCGGCGGCGGCGGCGGCGACGACGACGATGACGACGATGACGACGGCGACGACGACGATGACGACGACGACGACGACGACGACGACGACGACGACGACGAGGACGACGAGGACGACGAGGACGACGAGGACGACGACGACGACGACGACGACGACGACGACGACCTCTGAACCACCACAGCACCACACCACATCCACAGGGGGGGGGAGGGGGGCACCGCAGCGCAGCACCACGCCACGCCCACCTCTGAACCACCACAGCACCACACCACATCCACAGGGGGGGGGGGCACCGCAGCGCAGCACCACGCCACGCCCACAGGGGGGGGCGGGGGGGACCATCGCGCGGGGGGGGGGGGGGCCCAATGGCATCAGCATTGGGGGGGAGGGGGGGGGCAAGCCCTGGACCATATATCCGGCTCGTCGGGTCGGCGGTCTGGGCGTTGCCACACAGTTCGGCCCTGAATTTTGGACATCGGAACAGCCAACCCTCATCGGCGAGCGGGGGGGCAAGGGAGAAGGAGAAGGCCTCAGAAGACGGCGGGACTTCTCAGATGCCTTGTGGCCTTTTCTACGTTCACTGAACGGCCCTGGGCGCTTACTGAGCAGCCCTGTCCTGCTCGCTTCCATCATTGGGAGCGGTTACGGAACGGCTTCGCTGGTCGGAGTGTTCATTCTGAGGGTGGCGTTATTCTCTTGTACAGGGTGTCTAGAGCTCCGACCACTTTATTCCGCGTCGCACCCCCCCCCGGGTCCCCAGCGCCAGAGTGGGACCCCCGCGCCGTGGCCCTCTGCCCCGAGCTCTCCCGCGTCCCCAGCGCCCCAGCGGGAGCCCCGCCCACTGCCCCCTCCGCCACGAACGTTTGATTCCGCGTCGCCCCCCACCCCCCCTCCCCCGCGTCCCCAGCGCCAGAGTGGGACCCCGCGCCGTGGCTCTCTGCCCCGCGCCCCCCCGCGCCGCCAGCGCCCCAGCGGGAGCCCCGCCAACTGCCCCCTCCGCCACGAACGCTCTATTCCGCGTCGCAGAGTGGGACCTCCGCCCCGTGGCTCTCTGCCCCGAGCCCCTCCGCGTCCCCAGCGCCCCAGCGGGAGCCCCGCCCACTGCACCCTCCGCCACGCGCGCTTTATTCCGCGTCGCGATGCACACCACCTCCCCCACCTCCCTCCCCGCGTACCCAGCGCCCCAGTGTGGGCTCCGCCCCGTGCCCCTTCCGCCCCGACAATTTTATCCCGCGTCGCGACGCACTCCACCTCCCCTCCTCCCCCCCCGTCCCCAGCGCCCCAGTTGGACCCCCGCCCCGTGGCCCTCTGCCCTAAGCCCCGCCCAGTGCTCCCTCCGCCCCGACCATTTTATACCGCGTCGCGACGCACACCACCTCCCCCCCCTCCTCTCCGCGCCCCCAGCGCCCCAGCGGGACCTCCGCCCAGTGCCCCCCCGCTCCAAGCACTGTATTCCGCGTCGCGACGCACGCCACCTCCCCCCCCCCTCCCCACCTGGGATTTGGGTCCCGTTGCTGGGCCACGGGGGGCGATGTCTTGCCCCCTCTTCCCCCCTCCTCCACCTCCTCCTCCCCCCCTTCTTGTTTGTGCAAGAGCCATGGCACACGTGCCACTTGTGTTCTGGCCTCTGTCGAAGCTTGGACACCCGAGCAGCCAACGCGGAGGATGGAGGGCGGGTCGCTCTCCCGATCCGACCCTCGTCAGGCCTTCCACGTCAGGAAGGCCGTCACGGAGTTCGATGCGGCCGGCGGGGCGAAGACGAAGCAGGACTGCAGCCCGCGAAGAGGAGGAGGAGGGGGGCTCCCCCCAGGGCCCCACCTGGAACATCTTTTTCGAGGGGGGATTCCTGCAGGACCTCGTGGCATCAGCATCCGAAGGCGGCCCCCTCCTTCCCATCCCCCCCGCCTTCCCCCTGCCTTCATCCTGTCCATCCATGTTTTCCACGTCAGGCTAGTCGTTCGCTTGATCGGGTTTGAGCGTCTGGCGGGGGCGCCCTCATCCCGACGGCGGCTGCCGGAGGCTCGTCTCGCCCCGACAGCGGCGGCGACACCACGGTCACACATGAGCTGCTTGCGAGCGTAACTGTGTGGCCTCCAGCTGGTGTTCGGTAGCGACTCATGGACGCCTTATGTGTCCTCGCAACTCCATCTTTGCAGTGCACTGGCGTGCGCCAGCGCCTGGTCATCTTTGAGAGAGCGCCGACATGGCGCCGACGGGCTTCCATCCAGCGCCGACGTGCATCGACGGGCGTCGACTCGCGTCGGTCAGCGTCGGTTCGCAAGAGCCAGCAACTTGGCATCGCTCGGACGTGTGCATGTTCTTTCTCGGCGAGGACCTTCGAGAAGCATCCTCGACCACCTGGGGAAAACGACGCGCACGAAACCGAAAGAAAGCACGGGGAATGGACGTCCGAGCGATGGCCAGGCAGGGCGGCAAGGGAGGGCCCCACGAGTCGCCGCAGACGCTGGCGTCCTCCCCCCTTCCCCCCTCCGCCTGCGCAGCGGCGCCGGGGCCCCCGGGAGCGTGGGTGTCGACCTCCCCCGCCCAGGGCCGAGGCCGAGGAGCGCGGCCGCCCCGCGGAGGGCTCTCTCTCTCTCGGCGGCGGCTCGCGGGCGGAGGAGGGCGGGTCGGACCGGTTGGCATCGCTCGGGCGCGCGCACGCTTTGAGGAGCTCCCGAGCGAAGTGAGCCCCACCCTCCCCCTCAGAAGTCGTGGGGGGTGGGCGTAGGGTTCGCATGTGCCCCCCCCGTTTTCCGGCGGAGGCCATCGAGGAGCCTCGTCGGGTGTTGCCAGAAGTGGCCCTGGGCCAAGGTGCCCCCAGAATTTTCGCGGGGTAGCCCAAGCGGCCTCCAGAGCACCCCTCACGAGGCCCAGAGGGCCCCAGGGGCTCCAGAATGGAGCGAAAAGCTGGGGGCACCTTGGGCCAGCGGTGCTTCTAGCAACACCCGGCCTTGTGGGTCATCCTGCGAGAAAAGACACGCAGGAGGCCGAGCAACTCACTGGAAATGGACGTCGCAGCGATGGCGAGAGAAGGGGCGGAGGTGAGTAGGCAGCCAGAGGGGGGGCGGGAGGGACGTTGCGGTCACGGGCAGCGCTGCGGTCGGGAACTGTGGGGTAGCGCGTGGGTGCGCCGGTTCTGGCCCGCCACGGCTCGTTATCCATGTTCTGGTCCCGAGGTGTCAACGCCCGGAGCTCTCTCATGACCTCAGCCCCGCGGAGCAGAGCGACGCGCTGTCCACTCGCAAGGCATAGCGTGTGGCCAGGGCCGCCTCCGCGACACGCTCAGCAGAAGGCCCCCGACCGCAGGGGGAGGGGGAGGGGGGGGGGGAGGCTCAGGGGGCTGCGCACCGACCCCAATCGCACAGCGATCGCCGACAGGGGGCCCGAAAGCCTGCCCCGCCCAGGAGCGTGCGGAGGTGCTATCGTGGGCCTATGGCCGCTCCGTCGACGAGCTATCGCCGATTCCAGGTCGATGCCCCCCCCCCCCCCGACCTCGTTGTGCCCCCTCCGCCAGGAGCAGCGGGGGGCTCGGCCGAGGCTCCCGCGTGTTCTCCGTGGCTCTCCGTGGGACTCTCCGGGCTCTCCGGGAGCAGCCATGGGAGGAGGAGGAGGAGGAGGAGGAGGAGGAGGAGGAGGAGGAGGAGGAGGAATATGAGGAATATGAGGAATATGAGGAATATGAGGAATATGAGGAATATGAGGAATATGAGGAATATGAGGAGGAGGATGAGGAGGAGGAGGAGGAGGAGGAGGAGGAGGACAAGCTAGGTGCGCTCGCGGCATATCTGACCATCCCCCCCCTCCCATCCCTTACCATGGCGTAGATCCCCTCTCTACTCGCACAGTCGGATGTCGAGCAGGGCAATGATCCCGAAAGGGTACGCGATGCATTGTAGAGCACGGCATGGCATGGCGTAGAAGAGCACCGCAAATCGTAGTATGTCACAGCATGGCGTGGCGTGGCGTAGTGAAGAATTGCATCACACAGCTTTGCAACGCAAAGCATGGCATCGCACAGCGGCCCCGAACATAACATTGCATAGCATGGCGTTGAAGATCAAAGCGTAGCATGGCATAGCACGACGTGGCACTTAAGCACTGCATATCACAGCTTCAGCTGGAGGCATGGCATCGCGCAGCGGAACGCAACCTAGCATTGCATTGCATGCCGTGGCATGGCACGGGAAATGACGCCAGCGCTGCAGCGGGAGCACGATTCGGAACGAGCGGAAGCGTGGAAATGAGGCCAGCGCTGCAGCGGGAGCACGATTCGGAACGAGCGGAAGCACGGAAATGAGGCCAGCGCTGCAGCGGGAGCACGATTCGGAGCAAGCGGAAGCACGGAAATGAGGCCAGCGCTGCAGCGGGAGCACGATTCGGAACGAGCGGGGCCCGAAAATGAGGCCGGCGCCTCAGCGAGAGCAGCATTTCGAAACAAAAAATGCAGGCGAAAACCCGACTCCGGGGAATCCTGTGGGTAAAAAAACAGTACGCGGGGGGGGGGGGGGGCAACACACCCAACCCGTCATCAGGGGAAGGAGGAGAGTAGTATTCATATTGAGTAATTGTGGAGGAGGAGGAGGAGGAGGAGGAGGAGGAGGAGGAGTTGGGAAGTAGGAGGAGGAGGTCAGGAGGAGAAGGAGGAGCGCGCGCAGCCACGAAAAGCTGTCGGGGAGGACGTCGGCGAAGCGGAAGCGGGAGGGCGGGGCGGGGGGCGGCCCCGATGGCCCCGGAATGGATGGAGGAGGGGGAGTTCCCGACGAAGGGCCCTCCCCGCCGTTGCCTCCAATGCCGTCTTCACCGCGACCAGCATTCCCCGTCCAGGTGTCACTCTCGGATGCGCGGGTGTGATATGCTTTTTGTCGGTGCGCCCGCTTCTCCCTGGATCCACCTCGCTGCACCTGCACCAAGCGGCCGCCGCAAGTATCTGTCTGGTGATCCCTAGATCTCAATAGAATGTCGGCGCCATCCTACCTCAAGGATCGAGTGGTGTTCCCTCCTCCTTCGTCTTCAGGAGGCGCGTTGAAACCCAAGATGGTCTCGTCGCCTCCCTGCTTCATGTTTGTACCCACTTCCCACCTCTTCCGTCCGAGGAGTATCCATGCAAGCCCGCTGTGGAGCCGTGAGGGGCTCGATTGCCTCTGGCAGCCCGCGCGGAAGCGAAGACGCCCTTTCCCCTCCCCCGCGATGATGCAGCACCGATCGGTCAAGTGCCAGCGCGGCGCGCCAGCGTAAATTGCAACCGCGTCGAGCCGACGGTCTCGCGTCGAGCCGAGGTTTTGTGCTCCCGGGTCGGGGAGGCCAAGGCGAGCAGCAGAAGGCACGGGACGTGCAGGTCACCCGCGGGGGTGCGACGACGATCGCGCGTCGCGCGTCGCGGTCTGGGCCGTTGCGGCTGCCCTTCTCCAAGGGGGCCGCGCGAGGGCGCAAGGCCGCGAAGATGGTCGCGCATCGCGGGGCGCAGGGCCACCGCGGGGCGCAGGGCCGCGCAGGGCCCGAGGGCCTAGGAAAACGAAGCGAGCAAGCGACTAGAAGCTCGGCACGAGGAGTGAGCGAAAGTGCGCGCAGGGATGCCGCCTCCGTGTGGCAGCTGGTCGCCCCCCCCCCCCCCCCCCTCCCAGGCGTCGCGCGCCTGCACCTTCAGCTCGGAGGCCCTCGGCTCGGTGCCGCCTGGGCCGCCGCCGGCCACGATCGCACGGCGACGGCGACGGTGGCGGCGGTGCGACGACGGCAACGGCGGCGGCGACGACGGCGGAAGCGGTGGCGACGGCGGCGGCGGCGGCGAGCGGCGAGCGGCGGCGGCATCTACGGCGAGCGGTGGCGGCAGCGACGGCGGCGGCGCGCGGCGTCGGCGACGGCGGCGGCAGCCCTGCGCTCGCGGCTGGGCGCCCCGGCGACGGGAAGATCGACGGGTGATGGGCAGATGTTCCACCACCACTACCCTAGGTAGGACGGGAATAAGGGGAGGATGGGGAGGTCCTGCTCCTCCTTCTCCCCCTCCTCCCCCTCCTCCCCCTTCTCCTCCTCCTCCCCCTCCTCTTCCTCCCCCTCCTCCTCCTCCTCCTCCTCCTCCTCCTCTTCCTCATCCTCTTCCTCCTCCTCCTCCTCCTCCTCCTCCTCCTCCTCCTCTCCCACCCCCCTCTCCTACATCTGGTAGTGGTGGTGGAACATCGGCCCATCGGCGGGAGCATGGTGGGGCAACTGTCTCAGACAGAGCGGGCCACGATCGCGGGCAGACGAGCGTTGCATGGCTTCTCTGGGGCAGGGCCGCTCTGAGGAACGACTCGAAATCTAGAGCCCTTCCCGTTGGCGGCGAGCCAGGGGGGCAAGTGAGAAGGGGCGGGCCGCTTCGGAAGGCTCGGAAGTCCCCCGACCTTCTGAGAAGTGCTCTAAGTTTTCCCCGAGGACACACCAACCTCTCAGAAGGCGCGAGGGCTTCTGAGAAGTCCCGCCGCCTTCTGGGAAGGCCTTCTCTTTCTGACTTCCCCCCTTGCTCGCCGCCGATCTTGAACCCAAGTCAGGGGCAACGTGAGGGGTATAGGCTCTGGGGGGAGCATGTCGATCCCCAATCGCCCATGCATCGCCGATAGGGGCCTGATAGCCCACCCCGCCGATGTTTCGGCATCAGGGGCTTTATTGTCGATTTATCGGCGATGCATCGCCGAGTCCAGGTCGATGCTTCCCTCCCTGAGCTGGTCCCCCCCAACGTTCGCACTCACCAAAGCGGTCCTTATTTCAGCGTCTTGACTGCACAATCGCCTTGGCAAGTTCGGAGCATGGCATGGGCGACTGGAACGGATTCCTGTCATCGACCTGGAAAATAAACTTCAAGTAGGTTTGACTAACATGTCCTCTGGAGCTGAGAACCGATCATTCGTCAGAAGGGGACCCACGTGTTTTCAGACAGTGCGAATTTTTGAGTTATTCATGAACACATGCACGTACGCCTCCCCACCAGCCCAAGAGGCCCAGGCGTCCAACGATCCAGTATGTTGTTGTTTGTTTGTTTGTGGTGTTGTTCTCTCTCTCTCTCTTCCTCTCCATATCTGTATATATATACACATGCACACGCATATATTTATATATATACACATACATCTATTTCCATTATATATATGCATATGCTGAATATGTACATATATATATATATATATTCACACACATACATGACTATATATATGTGTGTATGCTCTCGTCGTCGGGGCCACTGGTCGCCACCCTTGGAGTCAGGGGGCACGCAGAGGCGAGCACGGCCATCTCCCGGAGGAGCTGGAACCTCGACCTGCTGCGATCGTCGCCCTGCTTTGCTCTCGGTTAGCGCGGGTAGCATATGGATATATGCATGATATAAGCGTGGTTATAACCATGCTAAGTGCACACAAAGCATGCCAACCGTTTAGGTAACCATGCTAAATGGATAGCACATTACGGTCACGGATAGCACACTAAGCTAACCACTTAGCATCAACCTCGTTATACACTTAGCATGGTTCCCAGTTTCGCTTAGCATGGTTAGCTAAGTCACTTAGTTTACTGTTTAGATCGGTTAGCTAACCAGGTTAGGGAAGCAGGTTGGACAGATCAGCTAAGTAGGTTAGCGCGCTAATGTGTTATGTGATTGTTGCATGACATATATCGTTTTTTTTCGGTGGTGGAGTTGCGTTTTTATATGTGTGTTTGATGTTTTTTTTCAGTTATTCATGCTTTTTTTTGCCTGCGCGCTTTTTGTTTGCATTGTTATGTGTTGTTTTTTTTGTTTGTTTGTTCCTAACGCTCAACGATGTGATGGCGCTTGGTTTGTCCTTCATGGCTTTTGAAAATAAAGAAGCCCCCGCGCAAGTAACATGCAGCATGAACCGTCGGTTGCTCCCAAAGCCCCTTGAGGCTCATGGGAGCAATGAACTTCCGCAATGGAAGGCATGCGTGTTCTTACATCCGCACGAGCGGCAGCAGTAAAACATATGTTTGTGCATGAAAATCTGAAGGCAGGTTGCGTGGATGCTGTCCTGTTATGGCAAGCTGCCATGGGAAAAAACCCATGGGGCCAGGGCCTGGGGGATGGTCCTGTTCTGTGAGGTACGTCCTGAAGGGGTTTCCCAGGGCGAGGTCAAGTCATGATCTGAGTGGCCCCGAAGCCCCTTAAAGCGAGTTCCACCACAACAAATTCAACTAATTCGAAAAGGTGCGCCCCAACTAATTCAACTAGTTCAACTAACTCCGACCTGCGCGCATCAACTAATTCAACTAGTTCAACAATGCCCGAATGCACCCCAACTATTTCACCTGACTCAACCATGTCCGAAGTGCGACCCAAGCAATATTCAACGTCCTCAAATCGAGAACTGTTAATCTTAACCATACGAAAAAACATGTTAACCATACATAACAAATACATAATAGATTATGCTAATACATTATGCTAATACACTATGCTAACACACTACGCATAGGGTATAGCATAGTGAATAGCATAGTGTACCGCATAGTGTATAGCATACTGTATAGCATAGTGTATACCATTGTGTATATCATAGTGTATATCATAGTGTATATCATAGTGTATAACATAGTGTGTCAGCATAGTGTATATCATAGTGTATAGCATACTGTGTTAGCATAGTGTATAGCATAGTGTATATCATACTGTATAACATAGTGTGTTAGCATAGTGTATAGCATAGTGTGTAAGCATATTGTATAGCATAGTGTGAAGCATCGTTGGTAGCATAGTGTATAGCATAGTGTATAGCACGGTGTAAAGCATACTGTGTCATCATAGTGTATAGCATAGTGTGTTAGCATATTGTATAGCATAGTGTATAGCATAGTGTGTTAGCATAGTGTGTTAGCATAGTGTGTTAGCACATACACTATGATAATACACTATGCTAATACACTACGTTCATACGCAACGCGAATACACTACGCTAACACAGTATGCTAGCACACTCTGCTAATACACTATGCTATCACCCTGTGTCAATACACTCTGCTAATACACTCTGCTACCACTCCATGCTAGTACACTATGCGAATACGCTATGCTAATACACTATGCTAATACACTATGCTATGCTAATACACTGTGCTAATACACTGTGCGAATACACTATGCTAATACACTATGCTAATACACTATGCTAATACACTATGCTAATACACTATGCTAATACACTATGCTAATACACTATGCTAATACACTTCAATACATTACACTAACAGATTGATACACTTTGCTAATACATTATCACTAAATGAGTGCTTCCGCCTTGTTTAGACTTGTAGATCATTGTGTCAACGTCCTGCCGTGCGATGGACACTGTGCTGATACATTATGCTAATACGCTGTGCTAATACACTATGCTAAAACACTACGCTAATACACTATGCTAATACAGTGCATACACTGTGCTAATACACCATGCTGATCCACTAATCTAATACACTCTACTAAGACATTGTGTATCATGGCATCGACGTCTGACCGTGCGGTGGAGACTGTGCTTATGCAAATACACTATGCTACTGCACTGTGCTAATACATTATGCAAATACACTACGCTAATACACTAAGCTGGTACACCATGCTAATACGCTGTGCTAATACATTGTGCCAATAGTATGCTAATACTTTTACCCTTGTGTATCATTGTGTCTCGCTGTGCTAATAAACTATGCTAATACACTACACTATGCTGACACACTATGCTGATACACTACGCTGATACACTATGCGAATACACTTAGCTAGTACACTATGCAAATACACTATGCTAACACACTATGCTAATACACTATGCTAATACACTATGCTAATACACTATGCTAATACACTATGCTAATACACTATGCTACTACAGCGCAAACGCTATGCAACATTACTACGCGAATACACTCTACTAAGACATTGTGTATCATTGTGTCATTGCTTGCCTTGTGCGTTGGACACTATGCTAAAAAACTATGTTGAACACACAATGCTAATACACGATGCTAATACCCTATGCTAATACACTATGCTAATACACTATGCGAATACACTATGCAAGTACACTATGCTAATACACGATGCGAATACACTATGCTAACGCTATGCCAACACACTCGAACACATTACTCTAACAGTTTTACCCTTGCGTAGCATTGGGCTAACAAACTATGCTAACACACTATGCTAATACATCATGCTATTACATTATGCTAACAACTATACTAATCCAGTCGCCGATGTATGCCTAGAGCGTTGGTTGGATTGCAGTGCCATTGCAGGGCATTCCAGAGCCTTTTTGTAGCAGGGCATTGCAAGGTATTGCAGGGTGGTTGAAGCCATATTGGGCCTTCTTCGAGCGCTCTTGGGCCACCATAGGGCCTCTCGGAACTCTCCGACGCCTTCTTGGGGGTATCTTGGGCGCTTGCATCGGGGCCTCTTAGGTGCTCTTGGGGCTGTTTTTGGCAGCCTTGGGCCGCGCGTGGCCACTCTTGGCGAGCAAATTGTCATAACCATTTGCGCCCAGGGGGCAGGGGTGGAGAGCGCGCGCGAGGCATCAATGCATCGGGGCTTCAGGGCCCATGTGTATCAATGCATGTGTGTGTGTGTGTGTGTGTGTGTGTGTGTGTGTGTGTGTGTGTGTGTGTGTGTGTGTGTGTGTGT